CTGTTGAGGGTCAGGAAAGAATCAAAGAGCAACAAAAACAGTTTACCAAGCTGTTCAAATCTTTTGTCAAACTTGTGGATGAAGTTTATGATGAACGAACCTTGATAGCATTTGAACTGTCCAAGAATTGCAAATATTGGAGATGGCCGATGGTTAGAAGATTCCTCAAAGAACGATCCATGACTACTCATCACTTTGATGGCTGTATGTTGGGTGTTCTTGGAAACAACGGTCAACCAATGAAGAAAAGTTGGACTATTGCAGGAAATTTTAAAGAACTCACCGTGTTAGACTCATTCAAATGTGATGGCAAACATGAGCATGATCAAAGTAGGGGCAAAGCTCTTAAGCTTGCTGAGAACTATACCTTCAAGTTGACTGACATGCTCCATGAGTGTTTCCGGGTAGCTGTGGTGGGCCAAACATCCAAAAGGATTTCACCCGTTGTCATTCGTGCCTGTCCTGCAGAAATGGCTGACTCACGATATGCCACAGCACACCCGGCCAGCCGCGAGGCTGCGCTCGAAGCCACACGTGAGGCTAACAAAGAACCATGTTTGCTCCTTCACAATCGCATTTTGTATGCATTGGCCATGCGCAATGAAGGTGAGAATCATGCTGCTCAGGACCTTGTGGATGGTTTGATGACCGAATGGACGCCGGCTTCGGCCCTGAGGTTCTATGGTCGAGAGGATCCGCTTGCAGAATACCTTAGTTTCTGCTTTTTGCCAAAGGAGTCCCACATCGAAAAGATCATGCTGCCAGAGATGCCCGTCAATGACGTAATCTGGATCTTAGTCTCTGACTCGTCATGTGCATTGATCACAGGGCGTAGGAAGACACTTAAGAAGTTTGATCTTTCCGAGCACTACCGACAGCGCAAACCCAAGTACGTGACTGAGTTCATCCACGAGATGCTTTGGGGCAAAACTTTGCAGAAGTTGGTAAAGAGAGGGATCGAATTGGCCGCGGACGCCCGCGAGCGCTATCCTCATGCACGCATCAACCTGCACTTGTCCTGGTTCGGAAATGAATTGGTAGGGGAGGATGGAATTGCCCAAAATCCAAATTGGCCGTACGATGGTCCCAACGGGCACTGGCCCACGATCCTGGATGATTGTGAGCGCCACTTGACATGGTTCATCAACAAGGCCCGGGAGTTGGACTTGCAGACGGCCGGTCTCACGACCGCGCCCTGGAGCGCAGATTACGGCATTCATCCAATTTTCGATCAATTCTTTGACCATTTGGAGCCCCGATTCAAAGCTCTAACCAGCAGCCTGCAAGGGCGTGCCAATCCGCGGTATCCGTGGCTAAAAGCAAAGGGGTACGCCGATGCAATGGAATTCAGAGACCAGTGGCATTTCGCCAACTCTGAAGAAAATCGCACGCGCCTTGCTGCCTATTGGACAGCTACCCTTTTCGCACTTGATTCCGGATGGCGGGTCGGCCAAATTGGTTTGGAGCTTTCTGAGTGTGCCCAGGAGACATGGGATGATTTGCGGAGGAACATGAGCGCCGTCCTGGACGAGCTGCCAAGATCCTATCAGGAGACATGTGCAAACATCACCAAGTTGCTTTTTGGAGAGTCCCGAAGACACATTGTGCCGACGGGCAGGTCATTCACCAAGGAGGACGTCGAAGCTCAACAACCTGACACTGAGGACTACATCGACATCAAGACGATGCCTTCGGGCACGTTTGCTGAGCCTCCCAAAGATGACCCTCCAAAGGCCGCCGGCGACGGCGAGCCCGCTGCATCCAGCAGAGCAACAATCCTGGTCCAGACAGCTGAGGTCATGTTGAAGTCGCGGCCGAAAGCAGCACCAGCATCAATGGATGAGCCCGCAGATGACAAGGGAGCCACATCCAGCCAGTACCAGCCGCAGGCAACTGCGCGCTTCGAGGGACAAGCATCTGGCCACGTGAAAGCATATTGGATGGAAGAGCATTTGCCTGAATACCAATATACAATGGTGACCAATGCAGACGGGGACGATGTGCCCGGCATCCTCTTTGAAGGTACGGCTTATGAGCTGGAGCTGATATCGGCATCCGACGTTGAGACCATTGCCAGCCAGACTCGCGTCGACAAGAAGTTTTCTGATTTTGCAACTCGTGTCAACAAAGTTTGCAGGGGGCATGGATCCTGTGCCAAGGTGCCAATGGACAAAGACCTTTGGATTGACTTGGAGGATTTCGCCAAAGCCTTCCGCAAGGAAGTGCCCCCAGATGTTTTCATCACTGTCGCAAACCTGTTTGGCACCGCAATGAAGATCGACAAGCATGGCAAGAGTAGGTTCCAATTCTTGTGTGCAAAGATCTCCCATTTTCCTGTCGACAATGGCCTAGGCATGCCGTATTATCCTGTGAAAATCCGTGCAATTCAGGGTCACTCCGAAGCTGCCTTGAAAACCGCAGGGGGTCTTTATGCCAATTCAACCATGGTGTATTGCTCAGACCATGTATCCCCCGAGCGAAAAGCCGCCTTCACTGGCGTGCCCCTGTGTGCCATGACTGAGGTTCCTGAGGTTGTCTTCCATCGCACGATGAAAAGCAGCTGGAAGAGCATCGCACAGAACGGCCTGATCCCAGGCGGCGGTGCAACAGTCAACAGTGGCCGTGCCCATATCTACATGGCAGAACACTGTATTGGCACGCAGGGGTATCGATCTGGATTAAGAGCAAAATGTCCAATCGAAGTCAAAATCGCAATGCGGCAAGCAGTTGAAGCTGGTGTCATCTTTAGTCGCACAGAAATGGATGGGATTTTGTGCTCAGAACGCATCCCACCGCAGTTTCTGGTCAGCATCTCAGAAGAAGGACAGGTGCTTTGGTCCCGCGCCGAGAGCAATCTCGAGCCCAGCACATGGACTGGCGCGGCATCTGCCTCAGCACCGAAAGCCAAAGCGGTCACCTTGACTGCCCGAGATGATGCAAATGACGACCCAATGGATGACACCAGCACGGGGCGACCCGATGCCAAGTCCACTGATGATGATGAAGCCACTGCCTCAATGCAAGTTGACCAGCCGCCCGCAAGGACGCGCCGTGTTTACATTGCACCCAAGTACTGCGAACCTTTCATGGGCTCCTGTCCCCTCTGCCAGGTTGAGTACGTCAGTGGCCAAGTGACATGCACCACATGTGGTTTGAGCCACTCCCAGTGGACGAAAGTGGCGATACAAAAGAGGCCAACAAACCCAACAGGAGGACCCGCATCCTTGAACGCATTGAATGCAAAGTCTCGCCGGGTTCGGAATGTTTGGGAAGATGAGCGGAAGCTTGCTGACAGCCTTGACGGAAGAGCAAGCCAACCTGCTACGCCGAGAACTGGGCCCCAGGGGAATCACATCCGTGGAATCAGCAGTCCTCAAAGACTGCCGCGACAGGCATCGACGTGCAAAAGCGCTGGGCTACGAGGACGTGGAAGATAGATACTCCAGCGACGTCACTTTTTGCGACCGCATCCACGGTGAGGGGAAGGACCTGCAGGACTGCATATTTGACGATATGTTCGCATATGGCAACCTCCCCGATCCCCCAAGGACCAAAGCTCAGATCTCGGCTGGCGTCGCCGCCAATGCCCAAAATGAGAACTGCTTATCTAAGTTGATTTTCATGTCTCAGCCTCGTGGCGTTGATGGCTTCCCAGTTGAGTTCCGCAAAACATGGAAGAAGGTCTGGGGTTTCATGTTTGGCCGCCACATTTTTACAGAGGATGAATATGTCAGCTACATCGGCCGTCGTGGCGCATTCCGTGGCCTGTTGACCTGGAAGGGTACTGTCCAAGTCCCTCTTGATGGCACTCGTGATTTCCTCGAAAAGGTGTATGAGGAAAACCTTCCCTTGGTTCGGAGCAATCTTGAACGCAAAGAGAAGCAGAGCGCCGCTGCAAAGGCTGGAGGTCCTGGAGGTCATAAGGCCGACCCCACGGTCGCGCCCACCATTGAGCGAAAGCGCAAAGCCGAAGCTGATGCATCCGCAACCGCAACAGATGTCACAGCCGCCTCAAGCTCTGCTCGCGCAGATGCCTCGCACGCTGATGCCCCAGCCGCACCATTTCTGGTACCTGAACCACCAACATCCAAAGCAGGAGCACGACCATTCTTGGAGCCTGAGACACCGCCCACTGCAAAAGCAGCAACCGCAGGAGTCACTTCGAAGGCTGCAAGCTCCGGTCGCCCGGATGCCTCTTGGAGTTGGAATCGTGATCACTATGGTGCACGCCGAGAATGGAGTTTCTGGCGTGGGGCTTGGTATTACCGTGACGAGGCCGGCGGCCGTTGGATCTTTTGGAACCGTTAGGGAGACGATGATTTTCTTTTGTAGCATAGCGCAAGATGTGGCATGGTAATGTGCCTTCCTTGCAACGCTGCGCTGGGTTTTACGGGCTTGAGCTTTTTAGAGGGACCTTTGAAAGACTGCACAAAATGTCTAAAACCAACTAAAGAAATTCGGCTACCCGCGAGGGTATGCTTTTCTGGGTTATTCGTTCTCCGCAGTCGTCCCTGCTCGCCCGAGGGGGGTGTAAAAACTCCTGCAGTAAAACCATGTATTGTATATATCATCGATCTGCCCGATAGCGTTGGTTCAAAAGAGCTGAGTGCTTAACGGTGTTAGCTTAGTATTTCACCCCATTGTCGGTTGACCTGGTAAAATACAGTTCCATCTACTTTCCATGTAATTAGTCATGAAATATCATGAGCTAGTTTTGCATATTACAAGTTGCCCTCCTGCAAGCCAACATACATGTGAACACAATCAACAATGCGTATGTCAAAAATATTGTTGTCCGAACGGGAAACCAGTGATGTTCCACATGTGTTTGTATGTTTACTTTGGAATTACCATAGAACTTCCACATCATTTTCATAGCGTTCCAATTACCATAGAATAATAACTTATACATACCAATTACATCCAAATCAAATCATTATAATGTCCACATCATTCCCATGTGTCTATGCCCTTTCCAGCGTTTTTGTTTCTCCCCTTAGGTGCTTCAGCAGTTGCTCTCCGCGGGCGCTGATGTTGCGCTGCGCGCGGGGCAGGAACGTTGGACTTCCTGGGAAGTGGCAGAGGTGCTCGACGTCCGTTGAGTGGACACTGGACCCATGGTGACTTCGTGGGAATCAGATCTAAAACAGATCAATTGCCCTAGGGTAAACTAACATAGATTCGGAGAACTGGTGGTTTCCCGTTCGGAACATGATCTACAAATAGTAGGTTTTTCCACATCTGTATTAGTTTACTGGAGGGTACTGTACCATGTTTTTTGAGATACCCTTCCCTGTTAAAATATGATTTTGATGGTCAAACATGGTTGGCTGAGGTCTTTTGAAGAGACGTTGCCATCTGAAATTATATAAAAATAAATCAGACTTGGGGGATTTACCAGGTGTTTTTTTGTCGAGAATGGTGATATAACCTGGCAATAATGGCAATTTAATGGAAAGTTACCCAGTAGAAATGGGCAAATAGGGCCTATTCAAGGCATAATCACATCCCGATCATATGAAAACAACTTGTTTTGGGACACCAATTCATGAATAGATCCAGTACGGAGCCAAGGTTATGATTGGGATGTTATTTAACATTAGAGAATATTAGCAGACGACGTACAATGTTTTTCGCACGTTTTAGATTCATGTTTTCAACCGAGCCAAGGCAAACATCATTTCCGAAGCGAAACAAAAGTCCCAAGAGATGAAAAAAACACATTGAAAGACCGGTAATTTCTTACATAATATGGGAAATCACCATGTCTTTCATAGGGAAATCATGAATCCATCCATGGATCATGGTCCATAGTTATGTAACAAATGACCAGCGGTTTCATCTAGAATTTCTCCACCAATCCATTCAGGAATGGACCAGGTTTGTGACCCATGTCCAACAGCCTTTGCATTGGGGTGATCATAGTTCATGACCAGGGAATAGGTCAAAACTGGTGCCCCAATGTAATGCCGCTATATATAACATTATATATATAACATTATATATATATAATTATATATATATAATAAAATATATATAATAAAATATTATAATATATATATATAATAAAATATTATATATTATGTATAATATATTAATTATATACAATATACTATACATAATATGTTATATATAATATGCTATATATAATATGTTATATATAATATGTTATAATATATATACATATATTTATAATATTATATATTAGCTATATATATATAAAACCGGCTAATACTAAACATACTAAAATCTGTGGTCCCATCGGGCGGTCCAAATGAAGGCCCTGTGAAGCGCTCCTCGTTGGTTCTGGGTGAACTGTTCTCGGCCAGGCGCATGGTTTTCCTGAAGTCAGCGACTTCCTAAAGCGCCAGCCTCGACCCAAATGACCCGACAAAAAAAAAGAACTGTGGCTGAGCAGCGGAAATGGTGGCCATATTTATCATGTATCATAATTTTTCACATGTTTCAACACTCAATTGGCATCATGTTTCAAATTTTCGAGACTCACATATTTTTCTTGGGGGAGTCCCCGTGGCTAAAACCGGTCATCATTTTCAACGCTCAAATTGCATAAAAAAATCGCTGGCTGGTTTTGGGTATCCCCATTTATCTCCGATTGTTTGACACACCCAGATGAAAATTACAGTATATGATATGATACAATGTCCACAATAGTAGATATGGTATATATATATAGATGAAAATGATAAACATTTTTAGACAATTTGGACATATGTTTCAATGTCCACATTGATGGCCAGGAATGGGAAGGCTTAATTTACCGTAAGCATAACCAATCTGTTGGGTTTGATCAGGGGCTTCAGCATCACCTGAACCAATGGGCGTTTGTAACCTTTTTGTCGCTTGATTTTGCTTGGAACCATTGCAGGAAAATTTGTTGTTTGACAGAACGGTGATGTTATGAAAAAAAACTCTAACAACTCCACCATTTGCTCGGGATGGACAAGTAAAAATGGTTTGCTAATTACTTGGGTTTGCCTCCCAGTTCGCCAGTGGTCAAAAACTCATTCTTCTATATTAATCTGACTCGTGTCTATAGCTGGGTTATTTGCCGCACAGTTCTATATGGATTGGTTATGATTGGTTTAGAAACCAAGTGACTGTAGATGCATTTCAGGGATAAACTAACTTTGCCAACGATGGGTCACCACCTTATTCCACCAAATCCCCTTCAATCAGAAATTTAGATATGTCAGCTAGTCTATACAGTTATAGCCTATTTTATTTCTTGAAATATAACCAACTAGTTACAGGAGTTATAATTCCACTTATAACTGGTTCACAGGATCCATGTATGGTATATATTAGCTAACATTTGGGGTATATTGATGGGATCCATGTTACCATATATAGCAGCACCATGGATCCTATGGGACCGCGGCAGGATTTGAAGGACAAGTACGTCTCAGCTCTGCCGGGACTCCTGGTGGCCAAAGGAATTGCCATTCAACGCATGAGATTTCGATATTGGGTGTAGCCATTGTATACCTTCAATATTTGAACATGTATTTTTTGATGATTATATATGTATGACATTTATTATGACATAATATTACAATATGCGTTTGTGTGCAATACAATATCATGTCATACACATATGATACATATATATATTATAATTATAATATATATGAATCTATGGGTGGAGATCGACAGAAGTTTCAATACCACGGTAGAATCGCCATTTTTGGCCACGATTCTGTCGAGGTGTAAAGCCTTGGGGCGTGCTGTCTCGGACACCAAAGAGGAGAACGCCTTGCGTTTCACAAGCCATACGTTCGGTGGTGGCCCAAAAAAAACACAAGAAAAAATGGTGAATTCACCAACAAACATGGTGAATGATACATATATATATAATTATATATGATATAATGGGACTAGTTCATCTATGATAGCTAAGTTGCTTTAGAATATCTCTATAGCTTGGGTGATTTTTTTATTGATGGTCACCATGGTCATTCGACAACACTTCGGATGCATCATCTCAATCGGATCCAACCAGCAGGGAAGGTACGGTTTTTCCCGCAGTTATGGTGGCCATGGCTATTAGTTATAACTGGTTATTTCACGTTATTTCTATGGGATAAAAATGAAAACATTCTATAAAATGCGTGAAAATGCTATTTCTATGGGTTTTGTTAGTACTTATAACTGGTATTTCGGGCCACAGGAACTGTGGTAATCCATTGTGGAAAATGGACCTTGCTTTCGGGAGATCCCATACTGGACGAAAGCTATCTGAATCTTAATCCGACTGGCAATGGAAAGTGTGATTTTCAATGAATAACAGATCAACAAAACAAATAGTGAGTTAATGAATGTTAATGAGATCTATGAATGATAATCAATACTTAGTGTTCACAGCTATTTGGTGATGTTACTTCATGTTGTGATTCTGATCCCCCTAATAAATATCAAACATCTCCCCTATGGGACCCCAATTCATGACTAGATCTAGTACAGTACTAAATCAGGGTTGCATGGTTCTTGTTTTTTCAAGTTTTTCTTTATATATCCGCAAATGAAATATCAGGTGTTTTCTCCAAGCTTTAGACGTATCGATTTCATGTACCGCGTATGGTTTCGCCATATTTTCTCCATGGTTTTCTCATGACCTCTCATGACCTCAGTGTGACCTGCGGCCGAAAAGTTGTGAATTCGTTGTGGTCATGTTCAATTTCCGAAAGAAACACTGTGGTAAACCCAATGCCATAAGCCATGATCATTCCAAACATAATACCAAAAAAATCTGCGAAGCTCGAGTTGGACTTGGATCATGAATGATTCAACATCCAGTTGTTGAACTTATAGTTGGAGTTGCGTAAATCGTGGTGATCATTCAACGTTGGATCAACGGTAACCCCTTGGACTCGGGGCGGATCAACTTGGCTTCGCCAGGAGGAGTCGGAGCAAGACGATGATGTGATCTGCCGCTGCAAGGATTTGATTCTGATGTACCTGGGAAGCACCCAGCTCTTGCTGAAGGACGGTTTTTGTCGGACGGGAAAATCTGGAGATCTGGAGATTTCCAGGATTTCACTGGTTGGTGGTGACTGGAACCATGGAATTTTATGACTTTCCAGAAACAGTTGGGAATGGAATGTCATCATCCCAACTGACTACGATATTTTTCAGAGGGGTAGGTATACCACCAACCAGCTATGAATTTCCAGTTGGACTGAAAGCCGATCTATAAATGAAGAGGTCATGTATATATATATATATACATACTTTATCCAAGAGGAAAGTACCATTTGTTGGCCATATTTGGGGAATATATCCCCTTACATAGCCCTTACATAGGGCTTCTGTATGGTACCTGAAATGTTTCTCCCATTTTTGTCTACCGTGGCATTACATGTTTTGCCCGAAACGAGTCTTCGGTACTGAGCCTGAACCTCAGCACGTACCGCTGCGAATCCGGAAGTAAAAAAAAGTCATTCACCTCACAACATTTGGCTGTTTTGAGATTTACCCTTGTTGTCAGATAAATCCACATATCATATACCCTCTGGTTATTTAACATAGCCATGGAAAATTGCCCATTTATAGATGGTTTACCTATAAAAAATTGTGATTTTTCATGGCTATGTTAAATAACCAGATGGTACATCCATGTAATATAATGTAATATACTCTATAGTCTATATGTAACTAGTATTTGTATGCATCCATTGTGTACACATGATATCCCCATTATATCCTTGGCTCCCCCGCTTGAGTTGCGCCAGGATACGACCTTTGAACTGAGAAAGGCCGGTGCGGCCCGGACGTCACATCAGGGGCATCATGTGTTACATTGGGGATGGATTCACCTACTGTATGATTTTACATATGAGGATGAACAGTAGAGCTTGATACGAGCAAATTCCTCTTGTATTTCTGGGTAAATCATAGCAACCTGACGCGTTTCCCAACTTGGGATTTGATGGCACAAGCCATTCAAAGATCTGTTTTAGGCTGCTAGGTTTGATTCCCCAAACTTTGTTATAACATATGATACCTCGCAAAAACACAGGGAACAACAATAAAACCAAACATGATTGAACTAAAGGCCAAGAAGCATGGACAATTACCATTGAGAACTGCAGAATTGAACCTGGTCGCCCCAGAAACAATATATATATATATGTATGTATGCATCATATAATATAGATATTATATATATATACATTACATAGGTGTCCTGGCAATTCAGAAATAACTCCCTTTTTTGGCGTGTGGCTTCACTGCGGCGTCTATGTCTCCCAGATGACAGGGGCCAGGCAGTCTATGGTTGGATGTGAAGGTATCAAATCATAAATAACACAGTTAACCTATTCAAGGTTTGTATCATGTATGCTTTCTATCATTATATCGACATAATCATATATGTGTACTAATTAGAAATCATCTAAATGTTGTAAATATTACAACGTTGTATGTGTATTACACATCATGTATATAGATACTACAACCTCTATATAATCAAATGATATTTCTATCAAGGTCTCCCTTCCTTGATTTTCTTCTGCGCTTCAGGGCCATCGCTACGGCATCGTGGGATCCAACGGTACAGGTGCCACGGTGTCTCCCGCTGTCTCCTCACTGGCATAGAGTCGATTTAGTGCGGATATACTCGGGGGATATCATATATACTGGTTGGTGGTGACTGGAACCATGGAATTTTATGACTTTCCAGAAACAGTTGGGAATGGAATAATCATCCCAACTGACTCATATTTTTCAGAGGTGTTGAAACCACCAACCTATATATATATATATATATATGTATATTTATATATATATATATTATGCTCACCCCCCCATATCTAGATATACAATCAGCAAAATTATAGTTGAGTACGTGGCAAAATGATTCCGTTAGTCATTGCCAAATAATTGCCCATTTGAATGGGAATAATGGTGAGAAGCCATCGCACAGGGGTTGCGAGCCAGAACTATGTATCAGGAAGTCAAAGTCAAAATGTTGCTCTCTGATCTTTTTCACGTCCGAAACATAGAACACAGCTGTTACTCGTAGGATGTTCACTTGTCATGTTCATGTAAATAAACATTGGTAAAAATGTGTAAAAAAAACAAATGTTTTTTTTTGTTATTTGTTTTACATTGCAAAAAGCACATCTCTAGATGCACTGTTTGACTTGTCCCTGTACCTTGCATTGATAATCGTGGAAACCGCTTAAGCTAGAGAATAAATTGGGGATCACCGACCTCAAAAGGGGAAATGTTTAAGCAAGTATCTTATTAGAGCATATTGTGTCCAGAAATGGATGAAGCTACACTATTCTGGGACCACTATGATGGCAACCAAGATTCAAAAGCAGCTTGTTGATCGATGATTTGAAAAACAATCCACCAAAAAAAAGTGAGAAATTCATTGCAACCCTGGCTTTAAACCACAGGTTATAAGCCACATCCACATTTCCCGGTTGACCCTGAGCAGTGGACAGGCAAGACCACCCTGATGGAGCGCATCGCAGATGGCGCCATAGCGGAGCGGCGGTTCGTAAACGCAGCCGGGAGGTGGAACTTCCCCAGTTCAAGCAGCAAAAGTTTACCCTCTGGTAAACTAACATAGCTATTGAAAATGGTGATTTATAGTGGATTTTCCCATTGAGAATGGTGATTTTCCATAGTTATGTTAGTTTACCAGAGGGTAAGTTGATTTGCAGTTATCTATAATCAGACATATGGCAGTGTGTCAAAACCCTGGTACCTAGTGAACCCCAAAATAGCTGGTAAATGGATGTTCATCCCACTAAAAATGTATCTATAGGTATTGACCCATCCCCATATGATGAATGCTGATAGAACGTATTTGATTTTTCCAGTCATCTATGACAAATGAATACAAATGATTTTATCATATGTGATCTGATGAGGGCCAATTCGATGAGTGTTTCCAAGTAAGTATCCGTATCAGCCAAAACTGTGGGATGATAGGCAGGTAGTGGTGATTCATTTCATGCAGCAAGAGAGTGGGGAAAGTGACAAACACAAACATAACATTGGAAGTTGGAATGCACAGATGAAAGCTGATGGTTAGTGCACATATTCATCACAGAGCCCACTTTTAAATATCCACTCCCATGAATTCAGTCATGTGATCTATTCCCTATGGATCTAAACACTGTCTGAGAAGGTACTTCTTAACCCCCGAAATCATACCTCAAGTACTTCCTAAGAAGGTACAACTGGATCCATAGGGATTGGATATTTGACCACAGTTCCGAAATTCTGACCTGGGCTGCACCAGGAAAAACATGGAAAAACAACTCAGGGGGTGAAGCACCAGGCTTCGTAGTACCAAGGGGCCAAGGTCACAATGTCACTATTCTGACTTGAGAGTTTTCGGCATGTACCGGCATGTACCGGCTATTGTTTGATGACAATTCATGAGGATCCCAGTTACTTTGTTTTTGTTTCCGCAAATCCAGAAGAAGAAATCCACACGAAATTAGTAAAACAATGTGGGTAAAACAATGTCATATTTGCACCATCCCCCAGTCATCACAATTTTTATAGATGGTCTGTTTACCATTCCCAGTCATGGGTGGTAAAAATGGCATTGTTTTACCCAGGTTATTTCAAGCCCACCCGTCTCTTGGGAGAGGAGCTGGCGCATAGCAAGCTGCGCTTTGTGCCCCAAGGGACGCTCCATGGTGATGGATGCTACGGTCAGCTGACGAAAGATGGGTACCCTCTGGTAATTTCTTACATAGCTATGGTATAAATGGCCATTTATAGTCGATTACGTATGAAAAATGGTGACTTTCCATAGTCATGGTAGAAAAAACCAGAGGGTAGAAGTACCAAAGCGTGCTTGCATTATGGGGTAAACGGCAATTTTCATAGGTAAATTCTAGGTGTAGGTAGGTTTTTTCAAGTGGCACAGCCAAAACGTCCGGAAAACTCCATGAACCTGGTGCTCCATGTTTTTGTTGGTCCCTACCAGAAGGATTTGTTCACCAAATCTTTGGTCGTTTGCACTATTTTTTTGTCCCAAAGAAAAGTCATAAGAATAGATTCTATTCTTATGACTTTAATTTCTAGATGTCTCAAAGATTGCATTATACTAAGTCATGTACCCACATAACTGGATAATGTTTGTGGAACATCAGCACCATTGGTCGAAGATGGCCGATATCCCAGGTACATATTCGACATGAGGCGCTTGGGGAGAGTCCGGGGACCAGAGGGGCTGTTCGGAAGGGGGCCGAAGATGTCCGAAGGGAAGGGAACGGACGGGGAGAAATGCAGAGAACGTCCCTGTTGGATGCATTGATACATAGCTGGTCCTTGAGATTGAGAAAAAGCTCAATACCCTCTGGTAAACTAACATAACTATGGAAAATCACCATTTTTAGTGGGTAAATCAACTATAAATGGCCATGTTCAATAGCTATTTTTAATTACCAGAGGGTAATTCTCTGGCATATGAATATGATGTACAATGTGGGGCCCCCGTTCGATGGCTAAGTTGGTGAACATAACTGCAATAACTGGTTGGTTTATGGTACTTATGACTATATCTACATGGGGTTATAAACCAACAAACATAACGTTTGGGGGCCCCACATTGTACATATTGTTTGGCGCCGATTGGTGGTTTCAAAAACCTTCAACTTTGAAATTCAGTAGCCAGCGTCGCAATCAGGAAAAATTCTCTCAGTAGTAGCCGTTCGCTATCGGTGTATACTATCCCACGAAAATCCCAAGTTTCAATGGTATGGTATGGAAATCCCCAGGCTTTCTCAGCAAAAACATTCTGAATGTCCTGTCAGTCTTGGACCGTGCTGGTTTTCCCACAATATCCAACATTGATGAAGATACACATCATGTCTGAACATGGATATTTGATACCCATCTTCCAAAGCATCAGTGCGGCATGTTACCATGTTGAACATTGTAAATAGCAGCTTTGAAGATGTGCAGTGATATTTATAATTTTATATGTTCCCCTTCACTCACAATTCCGCTATGGGGAATCGATTGGGATTTGTTTGCCCTTAGGCAAGCAAATGCAAGAAAACGGAAACTACATAGTATGATCCTAGCTAGTACTTGGATGTGCATCCTAGCTAGTAACACCTGGTTTTTAACTATATATAATTAATGATATATATATATGGGTATGGATCAATACCTATTAATACCACGAACATCCATTTACCAGCTATTTTGATGTTCACCAGGGGTACAAGGTTTTGACACACTGCCATATATATACATACTCATATATATATATATATATACATATATGTAGCCCACTAATAAATCATTTATTTAACTGGATGACAGCATGTTTTTGTTTCACTAAGGACCACTGGGATGCAGCCCCCCCAATACGATACGTGCCATTATTGGCATCGGCGGCAGGAACTGATGTGTCCCAAACAGCCTTGGACTATGCCTGGCAGGTGCCGTGACAACTGGCTTGCAGGATCATCTCACTTTATGACACTGGGTAGTGTTTGTGGGTCCTATGTGGGGTTTTCCGTAAATGGTGGTACCCGAATAGCTGGATGGTTTATAATGGAAAATCCGAAAATTCAATGGATGATGACTGGGGGTACCTCCATTTCAGGAAACCCCTATGTATAGTATACCAGTAGTGTGCCTGTGTTTGTATATATTTTATATATATGAATATATATGATTATATATATGTAACTGGGTAGTGTTTGAAACTGGAATACACCTGTATATAATATATATATATATATACTGTAATACTTTCTGCACTCAGCTCCGGCCTGTGCGTTGCCAAAAACACTGTAATACTGTATTACAATCATGTGGTGAACTCAAAAATACAGTTACCAAAATTTGGATGGATTGTAGATGTTGGTACCATTCATTTTATGGTAATAATGGACTTTGTGATGGGTTTATTACTGGCTAGCCATGATCAAGTGGGCCCAGGTGAATGTCCAGCACCTTGGCCTTCTTGGTTTGTTGGTGGATGGCCCGCAAGGTGGCCAACGCCGTCCCTGGTGGCGATGGGTCATGCCGCACACGGCAATCCGGGGCCTATGAGGTGAACAATAGGAGGTCACACAGAGTGGAAGTCGCCAGGGCGGCTTCAGGAGCTGGTACGAAGGTTTCCAGCTGGGCTGGTAGAGAAAGCCAAGTCCTTGAAGAGAAGGATTACCCTGACGGTCAATTCCAGAGCTTTGGAGATTTAATAATGGTAGCTTTAAATAGTTTAATATAGTTTTGTATGGTTGAATAGGGATAAGAATAGGTAGTCGATTTATAAATTGGGAAATCATGTCTAGCAATTCCCCGTGGCCTAGCCATAGAGGTTTGGTTCGCCGGGAAAATCTTCTCTAAATGGAGGATTCGCCATTGCCACGTGAAAAATTACGGGAGGGTAGTTTGAAGATGTTTTTTGAACGTATGATGAGTGGAGATGAAATCTGTCAAAACAGACAATGTTTGTTTAGGGCATTGATTGCTTTATAGCTGCCTTTGTGTAGGCCCAGCTGGTCCAGCTGGGGTGAACTCGAGACAGAACGTCACCAACAAAAAAGTTCAGTCCGTGGGAGGAGCCTTGACGTCCTCGTTTTCACACCAAGATCTATCTCCTAGATACATATATACACGTAATAAATATATATATATATATGTATACATAATATTAAATATATAGTATAAAACATTTTAACTAAAACATATAATATATATAGTCTTGTATTGTCGCTGGGTCACTGTGTTTATCATGTTTATCATTGTGTACCCCAGCTGATCAGGTGGTGGGACCAGATGCACCATTGCATTCAGCGCTGGATGAGGCCCTTGGGACATGTCGGGGTTGGTGGTACAGGATGGGGCCCCCAAGATTGCGTTCAGTTGCCTTATAAGTGTCTTAACTATGGTTTATGGTACATAGATCTATGTAGATCTATGTAGATCTATGTAGATATAACCATAGTTAATCGGGGTTATAATGGTTTATAAGCCAACTTATAACTGGGGGGCCCATCCTGTATGTCTTGGTGGTATTTGCCAAGTATCCCGCATGTAATGGAACAAACCCCTCGGATGCCAGGTGGGCTTCACAGATGCTGGGGCACTCAGAGGGAGATCGGTCCACACCGTTGTTTACATATGGGGGTTCCATAAATGAGCGATCCCCAAAATAGTTGGTTTATGCTGGTTTATAATGGAAAATCCGAACATAACATGGATGATGACTGAAGGTACCCCCATTTTAGGAAACCTCCATACAAACAATATGGATATTCCATAGAAATATGACGAAATATACACATAGTTTTGAATATATATATATATATTGTAAGTGGTCTACATGTAGACTGCAGTAGTCATCTACTAATCTCTATGTCAGTGTGGATATGCTCTCTCTCTCTCTCTGTATATATATACACACATACTGGTTGGTGGTTTGGAACATGTTTTATTATTCCATTCAGTTGGGAATAAGAATCTCAACTGACGAACTCATATTTTTCAGAGGGGTAGGTTGAAACCACCAACCAGTATATATATATATATATGATTATATACGTATGTAATTATGCGTACTACGTATGAATGAGGTATTTCATATATATTGGTTCTTACCCACTCGAGGCAGGTGCCCACATGCCATGTAGTGCAACCCAACTTGAGGTGACCACATGTCAATATCCCACGAAATGAGCCCGAGCAAATCCCCCCTCAGTGGGCCCCCCTTATGTTTCTTGGTGACCCCTATCTAACTAGTTGCAACTAGTTCGTTGGAACTACCATACACATTAAACCACGGTAAACCACATTAAACCACATTAAACCACATTCAATGTGTAATGCTTTAATGTGTGCACCAACTTAGCGTTTCTGAGAAATGGGGGCCCCACGGAGTATCGTTGATTGAAACCCCAAAATCCTAGGAGTTGAAGCTGAAGCCCATCTGCGAACTCTCTGGAGGCGCCTATTCGGGCATGGCATAGCTGGATGGTAGCATTCCCCCTATGGAAAACTGTGGAAATGATAAGGGGAATACCCTCTGGTAAACTAACATAGCTATTGAAAATGGCCATTTATAGTGGATTTACCCATTAAAAATGGTGATTTTCCATAGCTATGTTAGTTTACCAGAGGGTAACCATCCAGCTATATGGAAAATCAGCTGGATGGTACCATTCCCCCTAGCTGTTGACCCCATCATCCCATGCAAAATCGCCAATCAGCGATGCGAAACTTCTGAATTTTTGGACCGAAGATTGACGTGAATGATTGGAATGCAACCATCTCAGAAGTGACGATTGATGTGTTTTTCGGTGTATGCCTTGATTCGCAATGACTATGACTTGATCTCGGGGTTCAACCATTATTTTGTTGCTGGTTGGTGTGCCCAATTCTTCTTTGCTCAATATCATTTATTATCCCCATGGTATCCCAATATTACCTTTCTTCATCAAACATTGTACTTTGAAGCTGGGGAAACTTAAGTCTAATTAAAAGATGCCAAAGGAGTTGGGGGTGAAAATTCAGTGAATCCAAGCATCTGAATCTTGATTGAAATCTGAATTGCACGATTTTTTCTGGGGTACCGGATGGATTGTAGCCCTAGTTGTTGAGCCTTTTTGGGACTGGGCAAACATCTTGGCGGATCAATGCACCAAATTTACACCGAGGATGCACCTTCGCTTCACCATGTTTTTTCACCCAGAAATCATGAGCTGTAGATGACTTGGAAATCTATGTTCACTTATCTGGTTGGTGGTTTGGAACATGTTTTTTTCCATTCAGTTGGGAATGTCATAACCCCAACTGACGAAGTCATATTTTTCAGAGGGGTAGGTTGAAACCACCAACCAGATCAAGATCTCATCATCCATCAACATCAAATAATCATTAACCATCATCAACCATCAATCACTAGTACTAACCACCAACCAGTTATGTTTAATCCTTAACCTTGGCAATCGTTATTAATTGTAGGCACAGACGAAGCCTCTGGAATCGACCTGTTTCATGTTGGCTTTTTGGGGATCAACACCAGATTTCATGGGAAAGAACATGCAAAAAGCATTGCTTTCCAAATGTAAATATGTAGAGCAATGATCTATGATGATCTAAATATGATCTATCTTTAGATATTGATTATTTCATGGGACAGAACATTACTGGGAAGGAACATTGCTTCTTGTAGATGTTCCTTAAATCATCTCTAATTCATTGATCATATGTGCTGATGACTGATGACATCCACATTTTGAGCAGTTTCCAATTTTTGGTGAAATCCAAAGTATAGTGAACCCCCAAAAAAGATAAACCAAGAAAAAACAAGTAACAGTATCACTTTTTAGTTTATTCACTAATAGAACACCATTTTGTTCTGTATTTTTTCTACTATGACTGCTTTTTGTTTTTAATCTGTTTCGTGGTTGCTAAAATATTGATCAGCTATAGATTTCGGGGTTACTAAAATCTAAAATATAGATCAACTAATTGATTGACTCTTCAAAATCACTCATTAGTGATATCAAACATAATCCGAGTATCAAAAAACATCCAACTCTTAGATGATATTAGATCCCGAACTTGAGGATTAAGGCATTATCTTAGGTAATGCTAATCTGATTGGTGGTTTGGAACATGAATCTTATTTGTCCATTCAGTTGGGAATAATAAGCCCAACTGACTTTCATATTTTTCAGAGGGGTAGGTATACCACCAACCAGTAATAATATCACTAATTACAATTCATCATGCATTTACAACTCTCAAAAATCTCCAGAATCTCAGGTAGATCCCAAGCAGAGATTGGATACCATATCACTGGATATTCCAATTCTGCTACCCTCCAGTAAATTAAGATAGACCCTAGCAGATCCACTAAAAATTAGTTGTTTCCAGGGTCGAAGTGTTAATTTACTAGAGGGGTAGATCTTAAATACCCCAATTGATTGCGAGTCCAAAGCTGAGGATAATGGGATAATCTGAACGATCAGATTATCAGCCCTATAAATCAGCCATTCTTGGGGAATATGAACCATAATCCATAAGCCGTGGTTTTGGGCTATCTCCCAGTGGGATATATGAAAATATAGTCATATAGATCATGTTGGGATCTCTTAGTTTTTTTAATATCTCACTAATGATCATTGGGATCTTTTGGTATTATATCTCTACATACCACTAACTAATTCTTACATCTTAGTTTTACAGTATTATTATATCCCACTAATGATCATTATGATCATATGTTAGTATCCCATTGGGAATTATCAGTCATATAACCTCTAGTTTAGTATCATTGCAATGTGGGGCCCCCTACTTATAAGTGGGCTTTTCTTTGGCCATGCAACCATTGCTGTAAGTACCATAAACTCAACAGTTAAGTTATTGTAGTTATGTTCACCAACTTAGCTATCGAACGGGTGCCCCACGTCATCCGGAATTATCTATAACTAGTGATAAGTATCACCTAAGTAATTAGTGATAATATAATTAGTTATAATACATTAGGTTCACCAAATATCACTAAGTATATAATTATATAACTTAATAACTTCTATAATCTCTTAGTTTGTTTTTTTATATATCTCACTAATGATCATTGGGATCTCTTAGCAAATATCACAAACTAATTCTTATGTCTTAGTATAATAGTATTATTTTATCTCACAAATGATCATTATGACTAATGTTAGTGTCCCATTGGGAATTATTATCAGCCATATATCATATAACCTCTAGTTTAGTATCATTGGGAAGTCCAAATGGTACACTAAATTATTATATTATACCCTCTGGTTATTTAACATAGCCATGGAAAATGGCCCATTTATAGATGATTTTCCCATTAAAACCTTTATTTATAAGGGATTTTCCATGGCTATGTTAAATAACCAGACGGTATATCATCAACCACTTATAATAAGTGGTTTACTAATAAACATATATGGGTATGGATCAATACCTATTAATACCATTTTTAGTGGGATGAACATCCATTTACCAGCTATTTTGATGTTCACCAGGGGTACAAGGTTTTGACACACTGCCATATACTAAATTATTCCAAGTGGTTCTTAGTGAATTCTCATCCAAAGAGCCCCCCGAGGTTGGCGCGTCCGGCTGCTCTTAGCCACCGCCGTGGCGCGCTCGGCGGACGTCTTGTTGCTGGATGAACCCACGAATCACCTCGATGCGCAGGTGGGGAAAAACGCGAAAAAACGGTTAGTTGTGGAAACTTCGTGGTTTAATGTGGTTTAATGTGGTTTTATAGGGATCGGATGGGATTTTTCAATATGAAGTAAGTGTATTTTAAAGACATTGTTGTTTTTTAATATGAAGGAAATGTAATGGTAAAAGCCGTGATATATTGCCCTTCTGGTAAGGAAAATAGTGACTGACAAGTAACGAGATTTTGTGGTATCGTCCAAATGTGAATTTGACAAGCAGTTTTCTGGAGGTGAATTGATGAAAATGACAATGGTTTGAATGTATTTGAAATGAACCAACAACAAATTGACACTTGATGAGCAACATGGGAATATGAACACCAACGGCACAAAGATTACCTTCTGATAATGTAACATAGCGAACCGAAAAATCACCAGTCTAATTAGGGAAGTCATAAGAATTATCATTTGCAAATGGGCCACGGCTTCCATAACTATGTTAAGTAGCTAGAGGGTATATGATACTACATATATACTCGGATAACACATATGTTCATATATACAGATATGTAACATGTATGTGTGTATATATACATGTATAAACACAAACATATTTGATATTTTTGTAAAGGTTAAATAATTCAATCCTTGGGACACCCTGTAAACTCCAGCAATTGAATTCCATATTCCATGTAGTGCGGAATGGTCATATATGCATAGTGTATTCTTACAAATTGGTGCACTCCCAGTTAATATGTTGCTTAAGACATGCCAGTAACTATAGTTCCACTTACCATAAACAGTGATTTGCACCACAGTTATGGGCCTTAACAGGTGTGGAAAGAAAGATGGGACACGAGTGGAGAATGATGGGATGATGCGAACATGATGGGAACTCACTTAACGGGATGAAACAACTCCTCCTGTAACTAGTTGATGATATACCATCTGGTTATTTAACATAGCCATGGAAAATCCCTTATAAATGGAGGTTTTAATGGGAAAATCATATATAAATGGGCCATTTTCAATGTTAAAGAAGCCAGTTCCAATCCCATTATACAGTTCGTTCTTTCGCATCATTTTCCCATCAAGGGCTATAACTCTATGTAACCCCCATGAAAACTAGACTTCTAAGATGTTCTAAGTATTATAAACCATAGTTAAACCGTAGTTATTGGAGTTATTTGCACCTTTTTTTCCCATCGTTGTGTAACATAAGTGGCACACTTTGAATCGCTCCAGGCTGTTTCTTGGCTGGTGGTTTACTTGACACGCAAGCGCGATTCCACCTCTGTGGCGCGGGAACTTGGAGACCCTTCAGGACTTCGAAAGTGGAGATATAGATATCATACCATAGGAAAACCATAGGAAATCCATAGGACATCCATAGGAAAATGGAGGTTTACCCTCTGGTTATGACTAACATAGCCATGGTATAGATGGCCCAAATCGAAATAGATGGTTTAGCTATTAATAGCATGGTGATTTTCCATGACGTTAAATAACCAGATGGTATCTGTAATAGAGGGATAATATGGATATGAAAAATATAAGATATGAAACATATTATGATATATGGTTAATATATGTATAGTGACGGACCGAAACTTAGAATGCCATTTTGGAACCGTACCCACTGGAAAAAGTAGCGGCAAAATATAGAAATATGTGCTCCCGCAACTTTTTGACTGTATTTTTTCGATAAATGGCTCTTGCAGATGTTAACTTAGAATGCGTGTCAGGTCCTTTTCTATTTTGACATGCTTCACTTGTTCTTTTGGATACCTTTTGATGCAGACATTTCAGGGGTTTTTGCCCTGTTGTTCAGAGATTCGGCGCCCATTTCAATGTAAATTAAGGCAGTAAATCATTCCAAAACCACCCATTTCAATATTTTGGAATCCAAACTTGTGCACAGGAAGGGATACAGGACCGTTCCAAGAGCAAACAAAACGCTGGGATTTCGAGGGAAAGAGTGAAAAAGGGCCAAACTTTTTGGCATGAGAGTGCGATTGCGCTGTGCTTTCAAAGCTTTTTGAATATATATAGTACCGGATTAAAACTTAGAAGGGGCCCCCAGTTTCCAAACCCGTGTTAGAATGGGGGTCACGGAGAACAACTTAGAATGAAGCATTCTAAGTTTAGGGGGTAAGGTGGACGATAAATCTCACTTGCCGGGAAAAAAAATGATTATTTGTGAAATGCATGCTAAGTTTACACCCGAGGATGTTTTTTACGTATATATATATATATATGTGTGTGTGTGTGAATTCCTCCATTTCTGATGGCGCAAAATAAGGAACTTTATTATAGATAAACCCTGATGTCTGTTCTTGTGAAACAATGCTGCTGGTTTTCTTGTGTGTGCCTGGCAGTGCACACAAAGCTGGGACAGCCATGCATCGTGCTGCATTTAGCGCTGGCGGTCGGAAGTTGAAAGAACACAAACCCAAAACAAGTATATATTTATATATGTATACATAGATAAATAGCTATATATATATTAATATATATATATAGTGACACACTGAAACTTAGAATGCCGCCCAGTTTGTTAAAATTTTGATTTTTGAACTTAGAATGCCGCCAAAAACCCTGTTTTTAAGGGTATTTTAGAATGCCGGCGTGTGAATGTTTCAATGTGCCAGACCCCGAACCACAGTATTGCCATACAAAATGCATATTTTAGGTCTAAAATGGCATTCTAAGTTCTCTCCTGCCAGTGTTTTTTCCTCCATAAAACACCAAAAAAACAGCAAACAGAAAAATAACTCCACTCCGTTTGAAGCATATATGCAAGAAACAATGCAATTTACTGCATATTTACAGGGTTTTGTGAACATATAGGATCCAAGGCACCTCAAGATTCCTTTTTTTCCTCAAAAGTGTCTCTTATTTCCTTCCCCATTAAAGATGAAAACCTCGAAAAAACAGGGACCAAAAATCCCTGGCAAAAGGTAACTTAGAATGCTGGCAAAGTTGTCTTTGGTTTTCCATTGTTTTTCATTGTTCCTTCTTTGGTTTTTCATTGGTTTTTCTGTGGTTCTCTTTTGTTTTTCCTTGATTTGTTCATAGATTTTTCTTTGGTTCTCAAAAATGTTCATGTGTTGTTCTTTGCTTATCATTGTTTCATTGGTTCATTGGTTTTCATTGGTTTTTCTGGTGTTTTTCTTTGGTGATTTTTTTTCCACTTTAGTATTCGCGAATGAATTGCCTAATTGAAAACAAATACATAAAGTGAACTTTCTTGGAACTTTAGTATTCACGAATGAATTGCCTACTTGAAAACGAATACATAAAGTGAACTTTCTTGGAACTTTAACTTTACTATTCCCAAATGAATTGCCTAATTGAAAACGAATACATAAAGTGAACTTTCTTGGAACTTTAGTATTCACAAATGAATTGCCGAATTGAAAACGCATACATAAAGTGAACTTTCTTGGAACTGTAGTATTCACAAATGAATTGCCTAGTTGAAAACGAATACATAAAGTGAACTTTCTTGGAACTTTAGTATTCACAAATGAATTGCCTACTTGAAAACGAATACATAAAGTGAACGTTCTTTCCACTGTAGTATTCACAAATGAATTGCCCTAAATCCGCCATAAATCCTCCATAAATCCTCCATAAATCCTTCATAAATCCATCATAAATCCTCCATAAATCCGCCATAAATCCTCCATTAATCCTCCATTAATCCTCCATAAATCCACCATAAATCCTCCATAAATCCCTCAAAAATCCTCCATAGAGCTTCTATAAACCTTATTTTCAAGTGGCCAGGCGTATTTTCACAGAGCCGATGAACACCTGTGATCATATATGGACATTCTAAGTTTGCCAGATTTGGTCTCCAAACTACATAAGGGTGCTCAAATATGATAAACTCCTTACGGTGTGTTGGCGGCATTCTAACTCTAGTATGAAAATCTATGGGGTATAAAGCGAACATATGTTCACAGAGCCCATGAACACATATGATATTTTATGATCATATGTACACATTCGAAGTTTGCCGGATTTGGCCCCAAAACTACATAACAGTGCTCAAAAATGATAAACTCCGTACGGTGTGCTGCCACATTCTAACTCTAGTATGAAAATCTACGGGTTATAAAATTGTCATAGATAAACCATGATGTCTGTTCTTGTGAAACAATGCTGCTGGTTTTCTTGTGTGTGCCTGGCAGTGCACACAAAGCTGGGACAGCCATGCATCGTGCTGCATTTAGCGCTGGCGGTCGGAAGTTGAAAGAACACAAACCCAAAACAAGTATATATTTATATATGTATACATAGATAAATACCTACATATATATATAATATATATATAATATATATAATATATATAATATATATATATATATATAGTGACACACTGAAACTTAGAATGCCGCCCAGTTTGTTAAAATTTTGATTTTTGAACTTAGAATGCCGCCAAAAACCCTGTTTTTAAGGGTATTTTAGAATGCCGGCGTGTGAATGTTTTAATGTGCCAGACCCCGAACCACAGTATTGCCATACAAAATGCACATTTTAGGTCTAAAATGGCACTCTATGTTCTCTCCTGCCAGTGTTTTTTCCTCCATAAAACCACCAAAAAAACAGCAAACAGAAAAATAACTCCACTCCGTTTGAAGCACATATGCAAGAAACAATGCAATTTACTGCATATTTACAGGGTTTTGTGAACATATAGGATCCAAGGCACCTCAAGATTCCTTTTTTTCCTCAAAAGTGTCTCTTATTTCCTTCCCCATTAAAGATGAAAACCTCGAAAAAACAGGGACCAAAAATCCCTGGCAAAAGGTAACTTAGAATGCTGGCAAAGTTGTCTTTGGTTTTCCATTGTTTTTCATTGTTCCTTCTTTGGTTTTTCATTGGTTTTTCTGTGGTTCTCTTTTGTTTTTCTTCCTTGATTTGTTCATAGATTTTTCTTTGGTTCTCAAAAATGTTCATGTGTTGTTCTTTGCTTATCATTGTTTTTGTTCATTGGTTTTCATTGGTTTTTCTGGTGTTTTTCTTTGGTGATTTTTTTCCACTTTAGTATTCGCGAATGAATTGCCTAATTGAAAACAAATACATAAAGTGAACTTTCTTGGAACTTTAGTATTCACGAATGAATTGCCTACTTGAAAACGAATACATAAAGTGAACTTTCTTGGAACTTTAGTATTCACAAATGAATTGCCTACTTGAAAACGAATACATAAAGTGAACTTTTTTGGAACTTTAGGATTCACAAATGACTTGCCTAATTGAACACGAATACATAAAGTGAACTTTCTTGGAACTTTACTATTCCCAAATGAATTGCCTAATTGAAAACGAATACATAAAGTGAACTTTCTTGGAACTTTAGTATTCACAAATGAATTGCCGAATTGAAAACGCATACATAAAGTGAACTTTCTTGGAACTGTAGTATTCACAAATGAATTGCCTAGTTGAAAACGAATACATAAAGTGAACTTTCTTGGAACTTTAGTATTCACAAATGAATTGCCTAGTTGAAAACGAATACATAAAGTGAACATTCTTGGAACTTTAGTATTCACAAATGAATTGCCTACTTGAAAACGAATACATAAAGTGAACTTTCTTGGAACTGTAGTATTCACAAATGAATTGCATAATTGAAAACGAATACATAAAGTGAACGTTCTTTCCACTGTAGTATTCACAAATGAATTGCCTAAATCCGCCATAAATCCTCCATAAATCCTCCATAAATCCTTCATAAATCCATCATAAATCCTCCATAAATCCTCCATAAATCCTCCATTAATCCTCCATAAATCCTCCATTAATCCTCCATAAATCCCTCAAAAATCCTCCATAGAGCTTCTATAAACCTTATTTTCAAGTGGCCAGGTGTATTTTCACAGAGCCGATGAACACCTGTGATCATATATGGACATTCTAAGTTTGCCAGATTTGGTCTCCAAACTACATAAGGGTGCTCAAATATGATAAACTCCTTACGGTGTGTTGGCGGCATTCTAACTCTAGTAAAGCGAACATATGTTCACAGAGCCCATGAACACATATGATATTTTATGATCATATGTACACATTCTAAGTTTGCCGGATTTGGCCCCAAAACTACATAACGGTGCTCAAAAATGATAAACTCCGTACGGTGTGCTGCCACATTCTAACTCTAGTATGAAAATCTATGGGGTATAAGATTGTCTTCTGCGGTGAGATTTTGGCCGCGGTGTCGTTCCGTAATGGCCGTATGTAAATTCCAAAACGGAGTTCTAAGTTTCAATCCGTCACTATATATTCAAGGTTTTGATAAAACCCTTCAGATGGGTAAACATGGTTGCCCCAGGCAATACGTATCATGCATGAGGGGGTTGAACTAGGAACTTGGAATGCTTTGGGATATATTTCTTGTCAGTCTATAAACTGTTTGTGACATGTTTTGGCCTCAAATATTGGGAAATACTGTGGTTTTCTCACCCATGACTGGAACTTAGAATGTCACATGTGCCGGCATTCTAAGATACCCCATTTGGCTGGCATTCTAAGTTCAAACCACAAAATTTTGGAAAACGAGGCTGACATTCTAAGTTCCAGTCCGGCGGTATATTTACATATAGAGGGTAGACATAGAATACCATATGTGCATAATTTCATGTAATCCCCGTATTTGAAGCCCTACATAAATTCTGCGACCAAGAGGTCTAGCTGTATGTAGAGATGTGTTGTTGATATTGTTTATATGTATGATATGGTTATAGAGAGATCTACTGAGATTGTTTATTTTGTACATGTAAATATATACGTAGTTAAACATTGCTGTAAATAAAACCACACAATTTGCAAAAGTGATGACATGTTACTTGTAAAATATGTCAAGCCATGTCCCACTTTTCTCATTTGTAAACCGCCTAGCAACCGTGCCCCAATGGGTTTGGCACCCGGATCTCAAAGATGACGCCCGCAAGGCTCTGAGATCACGATCCTGGTGAAAACTGAGTTCTCCATGGGGTTTGCACAATAACATGAAGTTAATAAGTTACCCGCAAAGTAAATTAACATAGACCCTGGTAGTTGTTGGGGTTGGAAGATTAGTTTCCTCTAAAAATTGGTGATTTTCAGGGTCTATGTTAATTTACCAGAGGGTAAACGTATTCCAAAACCTGTGTTTTTGTCTATGGTGCAACTTGCGTTCTCATGGGGGTTTACTATTTTCAGAATGTCCAACTTGTGCGGAGTTCCATGGGGAGAGCATTCCACCATACAAACTTGGTGTGACTTCCCCGCTTTACAGTATACATATACATGTATACATAATTGATACATTATTCATGTGGTTTTTTCATTGGTTGATTTTTTCATTGTATAAATATGACATACATTTATTCATTGGTTTGTGTAATCATACATTTATTCATATATGTATATATATGGCTATGGATCAATACCTATACATACCATTTTTAGGGGGATGAACATCCATTTACCAGCTATTTTGATGTTCACCAGGGGGATAGGGTTTTGACCCATCCCCATATATATATATATAAATAAACATATTAAACAACCACGGAGATGAAAACAGCCTTGTGCCGAGGTCGTGTCACATGACGCTTCTTTTCTAGATCAAATCTGTACAGATATCATCCACTTCGATGAGGCGGGGACACCACCCACTTCGTGGTGACCAAGACGATCGATGCGATTTTTTGATGGATACCCTCTGGTAAACTAACATAGCTATTGAAAATGGCCATTTATAGTGGATTTCCCCATTAAAAATGGTGATTTTCCATAGCTATGTTAAATTACCAGAGGGTACCCCTAGGTCTCACGCTAAACACATGTAAAATTCGGGATTGGCTAAAGATGTTCCCTTGAATCAATCCATTCAAATCCTTTGTTGGGAAAAAAATCCTGGGTAATCCTAGGTACAGCTGGTTTCTCCTATGAATAGTCAGTGGATATACCTAGATACAAGATGATACAAGTATGGTAGGGTCAAGATCCACCGACAACCAAGGAAATAGATAGTCTTGTAATTAATTGGCTTATTATGTAGGGTGAACAAGAGTGATGAGCACCGTTGTTTCTTTTCCTGCTCCATACATGCGATTATCACTGTCAATTGACGGAATTGATCAATAGTTTTCACATATTCAAAGGTTGTCCAAGCAGAAAGCGCTATTTTTTATATTCAAAAAGGCTAACAAGGCCAACTGACTGAAGCATATCATATCACATATGACAGTTATCGCCATTTCTTATCCTGATGGTATGTGCCCCAAGAAATTATAGGCTCAACCGTCATTTATATATATATAATTATATATATATAATTATATATATATATAATTATATATACTGTATATATATATATATCCCTGGCTGGTGGTTTGGAACTTGTTTTTCCATTCAGTTGGGAATAATCATCCCAACTGACTAATATTTTTCAGAGGGGTTGAAACCACCAACCAGTTTATATATCCATATTTATCCCATTTTCTACTTATTTTCTGATGGCAATTGTTGTGTCCCCAATTTTCTGAAACACCTTCTGTACGGGGCATTGACCAGCGCGCCAGTGCCAGCTGAAGTACTATGCTGGCAACTTCACTTTTTTCCAGAAGAAGGTAGCCGCAGAAGGGCGGAAGTTGAAACTTGCCTTGGGAAGTATGTGTTGAATGCTAGAAGGTCGCTAAGTTGGAGCAAATAACTAGTATTTCACATGGGTCGCTGGTAATTGTAACTATAGTCTGTTGGTTCAAACCTAGCTTAGAATGTGTCGTGCAAACTTCTTGGATAGATGATCGTGTATATGTTCCACCTTTTGTTTTCCAACTTCGCATTGTTTTCTATCTTTGAATCAAGAAATTACTGGGTGATGGGTGATGGATGACTTTCCAGGTTGTTCTTTTGTTTGTGTTGCCTGTCGGCTAGAATTGAATATTTTTGGTGGGACGCTGAAGAACGGTGGCTCCCCAAGAAGCTGAGATAGCTGGGACTGCTGCTGAAGTCCTCCAGTTTGCTCATCAATGGTCTTTCCCGTTGAATTCCCATTTGTACTTTCGGTCACTGGTATAGGCCCGGCAGCACAATACCTCTGAGTTGCTGAAGGCATGGTGCGCAGCATGTCTCTGCAGTGGGTCACATGCGGATGTGATTTACAAATGGTGGATCTTCCATCTCTATGTGGGTCAACCGAAGAATGGATATATTTTGGATACGAGTCAAGTCTGATCAAATCTTTCCTGGTCAGAAAGAAAAGATGCACAAGCAAGGAAAACGAAAAACAACATGGCCGAATACTAAAAGTAGAAGGCCATGGACAGCCAAGACAGCAAGAAAAGCAGCGAACTAGACACATTCATAATTCATATATATATATATATGATAGTATTATGTGCACACACACATATATATATATATAAGTACATATTTGCAGGGGGGTGATATGGTGCTAACAATTGACCAGTCAATCTGTGGTCCCCTAGTTCTCAGGTCTTGAATTTTGACCCATCCCGCTCTTTTTCAAGGTTCGTTCTGATGATGCTCCATTGCCCCTACCCAGAAAAAAGGCCATCTGGGGGGGCTTGGAGTTGCTGTTTGGAAAGGGCAGGGATGATGCCTTCTTTGTAGTTGAACTAAAAACTGCTTAGATCCATGGTGTCATGTGCAAGTGGCGCCACCATTTCACCATAGGGATCCATAGCTGCTGGGAAACCCCAGTCAAGGAGACATGATTTGTGGCCAATGACATCATTCCAAAAATCATATCTCTGTTGTCTAAGTAGCGTCCATAGTACATGTTGAATCCAATATCAATCGATATCATATCCCACATCAACACCCAATATCACCCAATGTACATATAATATAGATGTATGTATGATATAAGTGTAATTCAAATTTATATAAATATAATATGTATCTATATAATTATGTATAATATATATATATGTATACACATTGTATATACTCTATGTATATCATGATACTTCCCACATGATATTACCACCGCCGTCACCACCACCACCAGCATCAGTGAGGTTATGCCCACAAAGCCACAGGATGGAGGCGGGGATGGACGTTCATTGGGGTATATTTCATTGGGGTCTATAGCAACTCCCAAAAAGATAAAAACTGCTAAACTCCTAACTGTAGTGATAAATCTATTTTCCAAGTTGAATAGTGTGAGGCGGTTGTATGAGACTTTAAGTGCCACATCCCCGACTTTGCGATCTCTTCCGCAGAATTTCACGATGAGGCAATTTCCCAGTGGTGCAGCGGTTGTCATGCACCCATCTTTTGGAACTCGCTCAGTCGTGGCGCGTGTGCTGCGTGAATTGGGCGCTTCCGACGCTGCAATGGCAGCGCTGCCAACATCGGCAGGCCAGATTGAAGTCCGGCAGGCCCGGGAAGTTGCAGATCTCAACGAAGAAGAGTGAGGTCCATCGTAACTTGAGGCTGCTTCCATGACGGAAAATTAAGGCAGCTGATTGGTGTATGGTTTTGTTTGTCAACTGTCTCGGTCCTTTCTCTTTGCTAGTTTGGGCCACCTGAAGCCGGCAGGGAGAACTTGCAATGACGTTTGGTTTGTTTATCGGGGCTTGTCCATCGATCTGCCGGTGGAGGTGTGTTCCCGGGCTGCAGCTACTGCTGTGAGGCGTCACAACAACAACAACAACAACAACAACCATATTTTCCGAGTTCAGTGGGAAATGCTATAACAGATCTTCCCCCAGTCAATGACAGTAACCACGGTTTGATCCACAGCTTTTGGTTGAATGAAAGTCAAAGCTACGATACACTGGGAATCTATATATAAACACACAGTGAAGAGGATGATGATTTGGTTTGTGATTTTGGGCACTGTTCATTTACTTGCTTTATAGTTTGTTAATTGCTTACCAGAATGTTGAATCAGGTTGAATCACTTGCATGTGTGATCGATTAATGGACGTTCAGACACAATCAAGGGGAATAGCGGCACACTCGTTTGAGATGCTTTCAGCATGTTCAACATGTTTGGCTTTCAGGTTCGGATTCGGATCAGAAACGACACCGTTGATGGCTGTATCGACCCCTAAGATCGTTTGCTTTCTTTTAGTGGTCATATGCTCATCCCTACCTGGGATGATGACTCCTTTGTATCTTCCAGGCGCTTGAAATCAGCGAGAGAAAAGATATGGAGATGGAGAATGCACATGATTATATTATAGTTATTTAATGTTATTTACATATACAGGGGAACGAACGTAGCAGTAAAATAACATATCGTCCACGTGGCAGTCCTTTGGCGCACTGTGTTTTTTCTTTTCGCCAAAACATCCAATTGTGATGCCCCATGGTTATAATGTTTCCATGGTTGCAACGTGTTATAAGTCTATTTGGTTAAAACTACAAATTGCCATCGATCCATATTCCCAGCTATAATTTTAATGCACATATAAATCACATAAATAGATATATAAGCAACTAAATTATATGTTATAGGTACATCATATACGGACATAAATGTTTACTTTATTTTGATATTTTGATATATTCTTTGTTTCCTTATCGAAGCATGAATGATATGTTGCGATCAGTTCGTTTCCCCACGTTTTGCTCAGGGCTCCGCATTGCCTTGCCAGTGCCTGGGAAGGTGCAGCTCACGGATGGCCCCACTGGAATTCCATTCGAAACCATCCTTTTGGGTGATGAAGTTATCCCCATTTCAGGAAAGCAACATATGTGCATAATTGTGTGTTAATACGTATATATAATCATTAATTATTGTTATTCTATATATATATACACAGCACATAGTCAGAGAGAAACTTGAGAAGAAACCTTCGATTTTGGGAATGGAAGGTATGGCGTCCGTGTAAATTTGCCATTTCACCAATCCATCGATAGTTTCTTTTCCACCAATCGTTTATCTCAGTGTGTTTTTTTCATCGCATGGAGCATGCTTTCCTCTGGTCTCCAGTGCGGCGGTCCAATTGTACGTATTTGATTCCCAATGGGAGGTTTCCTAACATGGAGGTACCCCAAAGCATCCATTTTTTTTAAGGATTTTCCATTGTAAACCATTCATTTGTGGGTACCACCATTTATGGAAACCTCCATATTAGGAACTTTTTGGCTCAGTTTGAAGACTGGCCCTTAGAGTGCTAGACTGTTGGAGTCTGAAACTGGATAGCTCGGGGGCGAAACAGACGCAACTTGGATCCAGTCGCTTCCCGTGGTACTTTTGTCATTGAACTTGATGCCAAAAAATACCACCAACTGACTTTGAGACTTGTCTCACTGGGTTTCATCGATTGTTGCAAAAGCCTTTGCTTGTTCGGTAATTATGCGTGTCCAAGTATGGAGATTATGTTGGCGACTACTGGAGATACAAAGCATATCCGAGCACATTAGAGTCGAAATCCTTCGTCATGCACGTACTTGCCAATATTTGTATCTACATTTTTACGACCATACAGTATCATAACATGCTCAATCACATTCATAACCATACATGTGTTATCATGTCCATTTTTATAAGCTTTATACCCAATGTATCATATTCAGATGTGTTCAATAATTAATGACGAATATGTATTTATATACATATATATTCACATACATATTATATACAATATTACATACACATATGTATATATATGAGTGTATATTATAAATATAGTGAGTGTGTTTGTGTGTCAATGGGTTGTAAAGCCTGCATCACCGGTATGGGCCATTTGCATCCGCCATCAGGTCGAGGGCCTTACGAGTAGCAAAAAACCTATCCTGGAGCTCAAGGACGTGTCCTTTAAGTGACACTTTCGGGTTGATGAATGGATGGTGGGTCCATTCGGTCCATGGGTTCCGGGTCTCGGGCTTCTGGGGCTTCTGGGGGTGTGGGATTATCTTTAAACATATTTGGGAATAGTTCTTATCCCGCTACATAGCTAGACTTTTATTGCAGGGTATCTAAGATTGTAGATTGTAGATGTTAAATTCTGCGGATTTTAAGCATCACAAAAAATATGGGCTTGTTGTTGGTGATTTCCCTAGTGGTTGTTCAATGGTTAACTGGGCATTCTGCCATGTGAAGGATGTGAACTGGAGTCAGGGGATCCCCGGGGCCCAATGATCGAAGTCTGGATGGGGTACCTGACTTAGCAAACCTCCACTGCCCCAGTTGGAAGGTACTTGATGGCCAAGGACTACAGTCTACGACACATCAATGGCAAGGCATGTGACAACGGCGCAAAAACCACCACTTTATGACACTTTTCATAGGGAAAACTTGTGAAAATGGAGATGGCGGCGGTTTTCCCTTCAATTTTCAGACAAACCGAGCTCCTGCTTTTTTAGAGTCGTAGCATGTCGTACCAGATTTGGATAAGGTTCAAGCCTGACTATTGGCGAGGGCTAGCGGGATACCTGGGCCCAATTCATAAAGTGTGGGGGTTGGTTCATCCTGGATTAGCATTACATTATATTACATCTAATACTCTCCATCCAAGTTTCAAGTATTCGCTAGCTTGACCCATGCCAAGGATGTCTTGAGACGTCGAAGTTGACAGTTGCATTATTGCCCCCCTTGACTTGTCACCCCCAAAATGTTTATTTTGAATGCAGATGTGATGAAGAATTTCAACGTGTTTTGGAGAACAAATACTCAACACGGGCATTTTGGGCTGAAACCAATCATGTTTTGTGTTCAGGATGCTGGAAGTAACTACTTTTGACACTTGGAACAAGGCAATCCAATTTGATTCGCCCCTCTCCCAGTGGCCATGGATCGCATCACTCTGATGTGGTTAGTGCGTTTACGAGCTGCAGGGTATGAGGCCAAACTTGTGACATGATCAACCCATGTGATGCATAGTGTTTTCATATTTTATCAATCCCTTTTGATGTCCAAAATACCTATCAGAATCTAACATGATAATATTATTGATATTAGACCAGCCAAGTATAGCTATAGTCGGCATATACTCACCATCAACATCCATAAAGACCACATATAATCACCGCAAAACCACCATAAACCATGGTTGAAACATGTTAAAACCACCATAAACATCCATAAACCATAGTGAAAACCACCATAAACCATAGTTAAAACCATCATATGCATAGTTACCACCATAAATCCTAGATATTTCTGGCTGTTTTTAGCACCACAAAGTTCCCACATCGTTACCACATCCAGGTCACAGCGAGCAGCAGAATTGCCATTGTGGGACCCAACGGTCTGGTAGCCGATGTCCAGATGTCGTATGGGGATGGGTTAAAACCCGATGTTTTTAGAGCTATTTAGGATACCAAGGTGGCAGATGGTTTTAGACTGATATAGATTTACTGTATATTAATGTATGATAGTTTCATGTTGGTGGTTTCAAACATGGCTGGTTTTTTCCATAACATATGGGATGATCCTTCCCATTGGCTTTCATATTTTTAAAGATGGTTAAAACCACCAAGTAGATAATGTATGATAATGTTAGACATTCATCTCCAAGAAGTTTTGACTTGAAACATCTTGAAACATATCCAACATGTCCGAGCTACTGTTGTCATAAGTTGGAGGAATCAACCTAGGCTACGAAGGATTTAACTCATATAGTAACTGGCAGGTCGGTCGATGCCGAGTGAAAGGTGTGCCACCAGGATGGTAGTTCGATGCCATTCACTGTGTGTCAGATTTCCAGTTTTCCAACTCTTCTATCTATACTATCTATTTTGGGGTTGCTACGTGTATATATAATCAACTGTAGTTACATATATATATATAGCATATATAATAACGCATTTATACTTGATGATATATTCTATTAGTATGTCGAAGTGTTCGATTTATATGTTTTCGTGGATGGAACGATGATCGATGGATAAATCCAGCAAGGTCCCTCACCACGAGTAATGGTAGAAGCCGCAAGCAGAAAAAAATGGACGTGATTGTAGGGTTGTCACGGCTAACCCTCAAAAACTTCTCGCTACCCTCTGGTAAACAAATAGTTTGCTATTGAAAATGGCCCAGTCGAAATAGTTGATTTACCCATTGAAAGTGGTGGATCTTTCCATAGTTTTTTGGAAACGTTTACCAGAGGCTAACCCTGAGACCTCTCGCTATATGGTACCACAAAAACCCAACTCAGGTTCCGGAAAGTCGACGCTGCTGTGGGGAACCTCGTGGATCGTAAGCGGAATCGCAGGTCGTAAGCGGACCCCACCTAGCCCATCATGTGAGGCCCATGGAGCAGGTCATAGAAACCTATAGAAACGTATCGTGGGTCTATGTTAATTGAACACAGTGCAACTGGTTGTTTGATGATGATGATGATGATGATGGTTGGGATGGTGATGATTGGGATGGTTGTGAGCTAGTAAGGGAATTCTCCCTCAACCAGAAAGCGTGATCGCGCTCAGTGTTTGATGGGCGAAGGGGCCCCTGAAAGTGAGGATCACTCACCTTAAAATCACATGAGTGGCAGAATCCCTTCCTAGATTTCGCAAGATCAAGCTGCCCATAATTAATTCGGTTGTTGAAAAAAAACCTGTGATTATCGGGTTGAAACGGGCTACTTGTCACCTGACAATGGATATTGAAGCCAAACATCTGCAGGCTTTTGGGGTCAGGAATGCTGACCTGCGTCCCATACGGTAGTGGACGTGCAATTTCGGGTTGCCTCAAAATTTGGAAACCAGAGATCAACATCCAATGATTCATCATGAATCATGAATCATGTTCTCGATTTATTTGATGGCAAAAACAACATCTCCATAAAATGGTTCGTTCATAGTTCATACCCTCTACATCCAGCAATGGTATTGTTCATAGGGGACAAGACCGTTCCAGCACAAGGTGGTAAGTGACCCCCAGTGTTGGTTTATAAACACCATTATATAACTATAGTCTATAGTTGTAATTTCTATAACTCCAACTACTGTAATAATCATGTTTTTATTTACCATTAACCATTAACTATTATAAGTTATAATTATGTGCACCAACTTAGCGTTTCGGATTGGGGCACCATTGAGGCAAGAACTGGGGGCACCGTGGCACCGCCCGCACACTGCAGGTCTTTGATTTGCGGCGAGCTCAGGCAAAGGGACAGCCGTTTTTGGTTGGATGGGTGCAGGGTACCATTTGAGCTGCTATATTTGCCCTCTGGTAATTTAACATAGATCTGGAAAATCATCATTTTTAATAGGTAAACCATGGTAAATCATTATAACTCATCCAACTTCATCGGACTAAATGGGCCATGGCTTCCATAGTTCTGTTAAAAAGCCAGAGGGTACCTATATTGAATGCGGGGTAAAGGTGAAGGGTAGAGTTTTTCTCACACATGAATGTACAAAGTTGTTTTTATCGGGATGTATATCTACACATCTTTTAGGGCATTCAAGCTTGGTTGGCCGGTTGGTGATTAGTTTTTTTCATAGGTTGATACAGTCTAACCATGGAAATTTGCATGGTCACCTCGTGCATTTTTTTTCAAAAGTGGGTACGGTCACCATGATATCCCACCCTGTTCAGGCCCACTATGGATGGTTTATTTCATGGAAAATCCTACTAAAATGGATGATTTGGGGGTACCCAGATACAAGATAGGTAGATAGATAGATAGATAGGTAGATAGACAGATAGATAGATAGCCAGATAGACAGATAGATAGATAGATAGATTATAGATAGATTATAGATAGATTAACAGCATATAATATAGTTAGCCCATAAGTATTACCACTTTAGGCCACACCCCAATTTTTGAAAAGCATCATGTTTTTTCGCATTTCAGGATCTGATCAGAGCTTTGAAGAGTAAAATCTAACTCAAGGATCCTGAGCAAAGCAAAGTTGAAACTGCAATGTTTTCTCATGCCAACAATATCTTCAATGTTGTTGGTCTTGCAACTTTGAATTATGTTCACCTTTGATTTGTTGCATCACCCAACCCATATATTACATACATGGTTCATCATGGCTCTTGTTGGTCAAACAATATTCCGTTTTTATTGTAACAACAAGATGATGAATATCTATGAATAATATCTCCCTACATTTGTCCAAAATGTGAAACGTTGTTTAGTGTCCTAATTTCCTGGTAGTGTTGTAATTCTCCCACAACTCTTGGATGGAGTAAAAGCATTTGTTTCCTGCAGATGATCCCTTAAACATGTGCAGGAACATGTGGTTTTGCTGGCAAATCTTCCTGGAAATTTGATCAAAAAACTGCTGGTAAAAAATCCACATGCCCATGAAACCTAAAGAATAATTAAAGATTGATACCAATTTCCAGTAAACATGAGTAACCACAGTTATGGCCCTTTAAATACCAGTTAGAAGTACATGTCCTTAAAACATCTTATAAACCCAATTTATAGAATGTTTTTTTTATCCCATAGAAATAACAAGTTATAACTCATAGCCATGGCCATAACTGCACCATGAAACCACCCGAAAATACCCGAAACACCAGGCCCTGTGGGGACGAAAAGGGGCAGGTCGGAGAGGTGCATCGACACAGGCGGAGTTGTTCATGGCGATTTCATGGTGACTTTCTGTTGTGAAATCAGTGAAATCGGACGTTTTTTTTATGGTGATTTTAGTCATGTTTGATGGTGATTCACATGGTTTTGTGTGGTGATTTTAGTGATGGATTGAAATTCTGACATTGAAATATGTTGAAATAGTTTGAACTGGAATATGGTTTGGGCAATGTTATGAAAAATAGATCAATGGGTCATGTTTAAATCTACATTGATTCTTGGACGTGACATGTGAAGCTTGGGGAATAGCGCTATAAGAAGAATATGAATAATATGGGAAGATGTGTTTTCTTATTTAAACATTGGGTACATCACATTGCTGCCATTGCTGTTGAACAGTTTGCACGAAAAATTATGAGACGAATCGTGTGCTTGGCCTAAGTTTAGCATTGCTGATTCAATTCATTTCTCTCTCAAGATTTGTGCTTGGCAGATTTCGCATCGGAACCCGGGGCGACTCTGCGACTTGGTTGTTGTGTCCAGAGGGAAGATGGTCCTTGCTAAAGACGTCCGTTTTGTCACACATTCTCAAGCGATCAAATTCATTGGGATGATGGTCCTTGCAACGAATATCCATTGCGGTGCACTCTTGGGATGAATGTCTGCATTTTGTGCCACGAATGCTGGCCTTGCGCAGGGGTCTTCGTTTGGCTTATGTGGCACAGTCACATGCGACGCTGGGCGATGAACTAGTTCTGACGGCTACTGTTTTTTCTCGCCAAGGGTTGTTGGTTGTTTGGTCTTTTTCACCACCTACTGCACGTTACTTCAGTGTGTGGTTTCTAAAGCTGACTTTTGCATAATTTGTCCGGAATGATGCAGAATGTGTTCTTTATTGTTTAGACATATTTGCTTGGGCAACTAATAATTCAAAAGGATTCACAAAGTACCGTATAAACACAATATACACTGCACATCACTGCACATACGTGATTCTTGTTCACAGTTGTTCTGCTGTTCAATTTATTTCCCTGGAACATGTATGTCAACATTCCTACTGATCTGGGGTTTCTGAAATTGGAGGCGCCCGCAGCAATTGGTTTCCCTCAATAAAAACACCCACAGGTATGGCCATGGCTATGAGTTATAACTGGTTATTTCTATGAGATTATACATTCTATAAATGGGGTTTTGTTTGTACTTATATATAACTGGTATTTCGGGCCATAACTGCAGTAACTTGAATGATTTTGACCATCTTTGGGACCCCATACGTGCCATCGCCCTGAAAGGTTGACTTCAAGGGAATTTCATGCAGCTTGTTTCGACCGTTGTGGAGAAATTCCCTTAGGCCTTAGACCTTACAGATCAGTACCCCTGATTTATCGGACACATTCCCTGACTTGTTGAAACTTGAATATGAAAACAACGTGTTTTCACGACATCGTCAGCGGCTTCACCCAGGTTCCACTTGAGTGAATACGCCAAGTCCTTTGCTCAGAGACGGCATTGTCCAGGACTTGCCAAAGATCATCTGAATCTGGTTGGTGGTTGGGAACATTTTTTATTTTTCCATATATTATATTGGGGAATAATAATCCCAACTGACTAATATATTTTTCAGAGGGGTAGGTCAACCACCAACCAGGAATGTTAACTACATAAAAATACTGAATGATGAGGGACATGAACTGTTTCGAAGATCCAATCCCATGAATGAAATGTATTGTCATGAATCTCATGTTCCGGGGCGACCCTCGAAGTCTAGCCATGTATGTTTGCAGGTTTGCTTCGGAAATTCATGGGCCCTTGGCCATTTTATCGGATCATCCCCTTGGGAAAGTCACTGTTTAGTAACTGGGGTTGTATAATTACCCTCTGGTAATGACTAACATAGCTATTGAAAATGGCCATTGAAATAGTGAGTTTTCCCATTGAACATGGTGATTTTCCATAGTTTTTTGTATGTTTACCAGAGGGTAACCCACTTTGTGGGACGATCTGCCGCAGGTGTACGCCGGAGGAGTACATCCAAGTGCGCTTCCGGAATGGCAGCTTGACGGAATCGCGCTTTTTGACACGTTGAGGTCTGCGGTGATGATGTTTGTTCTTCCACAGTTCAAAAAGGTGTTCCAAAGTTCAAATTTGTTCATGATGTCACAAGGTTAACACACTAAGTTGATGATTGAGGGCGGTTGATGTTTGTTGATGTTTGTTGTTGTTGTTGTTGTTGTTGTTGTTGTTGTTGTTGTTGTTGTTGTTGTTGTTGCTGCTGCTGCTGCTGCTGCTGGTGTTGTTGTTGTTGTTGTCGTTGTTGTTGTTGTTGTTGTTTTTTTTGTTTTTTGTTTTTTAATATACATGATTTGTTAACAATGGAACAACGTGAAACAACATGAAAGAACATGAAACCACATGAAACAACATGTAATATTTGCTTAAATGATGTATCATATAGTTGACCAACCCCCATAGGGGATTGTGCCTGAAGGAATGGGGTATAGATGGGTATAGAAGACATGATGATTGTATGATGTTCATGGCTTTCTATCCAGTTGATTTGAGACTATTTTGATTCACCATATGGGAATCTCATTGAATCAGTGGAACCAATAGCTATGTTAGATTACCAGAAGGTACGCATCAAATTGCCCCATTTTCAGACAAGGCCATATTTGTCATTTGTGTAGCCATTTCGTGATATTCAGATAACTTTAAGTATGTGAAAGATAATATAGGATAGTATAGGTCCAAAAGAATATGAGACCCCCAGCATAATCTACACATTCTAACACAATGCTGACACATATAGATCTTGACACATATTCTGACATTGGTTCTTACTTGCATAATATGTTTAGATATGTTTAAATATTTGCTTTGATATATTTTCTGACATATCTTGAGACATGCCTTCTAGCAAATCTTCTGGCATATATTTTGGGGAACTATTCCACTATTCCAACATGTCAAAATAGTGTGACATTTGATTTGCCAAATTTTAATTGACATATCTTGACCTGTATTTGACATTTGCTCTGACAATTTTCATGTGACAGATATTCGGACAGTCTGTCATCAACGACATGAAAGGCTTGACATCTAGTGGGATCTGGCCTGGCTGCTCCGGCAACTACTCTTTCCCAATATATGTGTCATATATATACATAAATATATATATATACGTCATATATGTGTCCTACATGCATTAAAAATAAGTTCTGAAAATATTGAGTCCTGACATCCCCTGACATTCAGAATGTATTTGAAATGATAGCACCCCAAAAAAAGATAGAATACTAAGGTCCTAAAACAGTGAAGAATCTAAAATATTGTGTGAAGATGTTATATGATAGATATTATATGATATTCTGAAGATGTTCTTAGTTTGCCAACGAGGCAAGCGGGTACACGGTGGGATTTGCACCGTCGTGGCGCTTTTGGCCCTCCCAGGTTATGACGAAGAACTTCAGAAGAGGCGTTGCGACTGCGCCGCCGAGTCCGCCTTCGACTAAACCTTGGTACTTTAACCGATGTTAGCCCCTAGCAACCTCTGGAATATGTGTTGAAAGTATCGTCCAACAAAACCTACTCAAATAGCGGTGACTTATATAATCTTATATATGTTTCTCTTTTTTCGGGACTGCGATTTTAGGATACTTTAATCTTTTGCTGAGTATCATGATGATGTTGATTTTGGGGGACTGTCATCCAAGGGGCATCGATGGCTGACTTGATGGATGTGCCTCTTCTATTTTCGGTGCACATATATGGTGGTATCCATAGTCACGGGAGTATTCCAATAGCTGGATTATAAGGGAAAATGCAATCGATAAATGGATGATTTTGGGGTACCCCTATTTCAGGAAACCTCCATATGATTTGTTTTGGTATCTAGATGCACCATAGGCCCCTACTGACTACTGGTGAATCGGGTCCCACGACCCCAAGTGAAATCAATCATCATCAATCCAAGATTTAAGACTTCTGGGATGTTTGTTTGTTTGTTTGTAATTGGGAGATAGCAAATCCCACATGCAATACATGTACGTAATGATCAGCCCTTGAATAGCTGCGTTTCCAATGATCAATGGATATCTCCAGTTTGGCTCTGCCAAAAACTGGAGAAACAACCAAAACACCACAGTTTACGGTTTAAAGTTTAGCATTATGTTCTTCCATACGCATTGCAATTTTATTTTGTAGACCATTGAATCACCATTGAATCATGGTTGAAACCGCCCTGACACCCACATCGTTTGATCCATGCTTCGAGTCAAGCTATAATCACCATAACCAATTGCTGCAATAAACCCACTTACCTGTATCTGAATTGTCAATGTTTTTCCCCAAACAGTGTGTCCACACTGAGGGGGTTCTTACGGTAACACTTTTAAGGCCCGGTGTTCAATCGAGGTGGTATCGGAAGCGTCCGGCATTTACACAAAATGCCTCTTGTGAAATGTCCATGTGCATTTCGACTGCGCAGGCTCGCACAAAACACTGGCCCCGGGATTAGCGTCCGGCATTTTCCCTGTAAAATTCCGCACAAACTGCCTCTTGTGACATGTCCATGTGCCTTTCGACTGCACAGGCTCGCACAAAGTGTGCTTCCCGGTCTTGGGGTCAGTCTTCCTCCTCAACATCCTCCTCCTCAACTTTATCATCTTCTTCCTCCTCAACATCCACATCATCATCTTCCTCTCACCATCATCATCATCATCATCGTCATCATCATCACCATCACCACCATCACCACCACCACCACCATCATCATCATCATCATCGCCATCATCATCACCACCATCATCATCATCATCGTCGTCGTCATCATCATCATCATCATCACTATCATCATCATTCATCATCATCATCTTCTTCTTTTTCTTCATCTTCATCATCTTCACCATCTTCTTCTTCTTCATCATCATCACCATCATCATCTTCATCATCATCAACATTTTAATACATTATCTTTTTACTCCACCCACACTGTTTGGGGTCTCTTGCCGGGATAATTTATTCCCTTGTCCCATGAAAACCATTGAAAACCCATTTGGGGATGGGTCCAAACCTGGTTATTTATTACTATAGTTTGAGAAAGAATACCCATTTCAGCAGCGGATTCATAATGGCTACCTGAGGGTGTCATTTTATGACTCATGTTGCACATGTTTTTGTCATTTCCACCGCAAAATCCCATAGTTTTCCCACGTGGCGAGGCTCCTGGCAGCTCCGGACCAAGCCGAAGCGGCGATGCTTCAACGTCTGGCAACACGCTTCGGCTTGGGCCTCCCAGCGTCTATGGCCAGTTATGGCCCTTAAAAACTGGGCCAACATTTATGGATTGGTGAGACTTTATGGCAATTAACAGATGGGAAAATGATGGGACATCTGAAAATATCTGAAAATGATGGAAACATGATGAGAAATCACTATGGGATAAAATAATTCCTGCAACTGGTTTTATATCATGAAAAACAACAGTTGTAACTGTTAAGAGCGACAATCAAGAATAATCAAGTTTTTGTTTCTCCGGGGGAAAGGCAACTGATACTGTGGATGGTTACAAAATGCTGCACCAGTTGGTAGATGGGCAAAATCCCATTGTAATCCCACGAATTTTAAAATGTTGAATTATGTTACCGATGGTTACCATCTAGTGCAGGATTTTGTCCATCCACAGTATGTTGGGAACCCACAAATCATCATTTAGTTTCCGATGTGAAACACCAGGAGTCTGATATTTCAACATTTTTGCCATGAAGGATATGGGTGGGGGAATGTATGTACAAATTACTTGGTTGGGTCTAGATATTCTTCGCTGAAAACATCAAACGTTTTTTAAAACTTACCCGTACTTATTATGCTGTTAGGCGCATAAAGCACAGTGGTCATTGGACAGGAGAAGGTGAGCAAATCTCGAGGAAAACGGTTGTTTTTGGACAGTCTGGGACATTGAAACTCTTGGGTATTCTTTCAATTGTAGAAAATTCGCCCCACGAAAATGCTGCGATGTTGTTTTGTTCATTCACGGCAACATCAACAACTGGTTTTGATCCCTGATTGATGACTACATTCAGTATTATAGAAACATTTTTATGTTATACCATTGTGGGTTCACTGTAACTATGGTATCTCCATTCCCATAGTTATACCATACGTTATACGGTCTTCTTCTGGATGATTCACCACGCATCAAGGGTTCAGCTCGATGTCTGACTCCAGGCAAATATGGCAAGCAGGTGGAGGTGACGGCGGGGTCTTAGGTGTAAATCAGCTGCTAAACCACGATTTCTGCCTTTGTACCACTCTCGGTTTCTAGGGGTTGTTTCATACTGCGGAAATTTGAGGGGGATTAGTCAACTTCATGACCTCACAACGCATCAGCATAGATGGTTCGTATACAGGAAGCCACCACAGCGCCCAAATGGGAATTCACTGTTTCAGTGATGACAAGCCACGGGTAGAGAGATGTCCACGGAAAGGCGATAACAACCAGTGAATTACAGGATCTCAGCAACTTGCTGATTTCTTGTCATCTAAGTATCATGTATCTCATATTCACCACTGGACATCCATGGACATCAATGGACTAGGCAGACGAAACAGAATTGCCACTGGACATAGGCCTTATTGGGATCTATCGACACTACCTAGAGGTCTGTGAAGTATTGACTATGGGTCAACCTTCCAGACCATCATGTTCAGAGTAAACATGTTATCTTCGATTTGCGGAAGGGGTAATGGCCAGGTGATTGTCACAGTTGTTTCGCCCGAAAAACAGCCTGCACAATCTTAACAGTTGCAGAAATTCACCTGGTTTATTTCGGCTTATTTCATGGGATTTTCATGGTATTTTTCCATTGTTTTCCAAAGTATGCAAGCGTATAGTTACAGGAATTATGGATCATCCCATGGCCCTGGTGCTGGATGATCCCATGATCCTAGTCCCCAGATAGACCATTGTTGAACTTTCCCATGGATTTCCAGCTTATCTTAGTTGAGTTGATGGTTAGTTGATGGTTAATAAATGTTAATAATGGCTAACGCAGCCCGAGAGTTGGTTAAGAATCCTAAAGCTTGAGACCCAGGGTCCCTCAAATTCTTATTGTTAAATGCAGGCTAATGTCCACCACAATAGGCCGAGGGTCCCTCAAATTCTCAGAGCATTCTTAGATATGTATTGTATGCATTTGCGCAATTTGGAGCGAGCTAAAGCGAGGTAACGAGGTGGAGTTGGTAGATTTGACAAGAGACATACGAAAAAAACTATTTTTTTAGAGCCTTTTTTTTTTGCAAAGCCTGGCTTGTCTGAGTTTCATAAGAGCAGTGCAGAAAACAACATTTTTTTAGATAGCATCGTCCACAGGAAGAGTGGCATTGTCCATGCCTTGCAACCGTTGGGAGACTACACGTTGTGCGGTCGTCCAGTGACCGGGAACTACGTAGAGTTACAAAAAGCCGACACCGAAGACATGGAATGCTGCATCCTTTGCGGCCGTCAACTAGGAGCAGCAGCTAAGTCAAGCTGATCATGCGACGATAGAAAAAAGGAGCGCGACCTCACTTTCAGGCACATCAGAGTGAAAGATGACAAGAAGGACTTTGAAGAGTCACTTACATGTTAACATAAATGTTTCAATCTTAACCAGGATCAGCAGATATCAAGTTTGATGTAAAAAAGGAACATTGAAAGAGACGCGCAAACTGCGATATATCAACACGATTAGACGCGATCAGCAGAGATCGAGTCTAGTCTCAAAAGTGTTCACCAGAGTTCCTTTTGGCTTTCAGCAGTCTAAATCTGATACCAGAATCGCTCCATCCAATATCCGCAATGTTGGCACTTGAGATTCAGTCCTTTATGGTCATGATCTACACCTGGATGGGGGATGATCCGAAAAATCGGTTTGACTGCCAGGAGAAATTGGAGAGCTTGGCCGAATGCATCAGCAGGGTGATCCGACACCTGGGCTTGAGCAATTTGACCGAGCACCTGGGCGACTTGTGGGTGAATACCCGAAGGGCATTATGCTCCTTCAAAGGAGTCAAACTGGAAGCGTCTGATGACATATCCATATCGGCAATTGGGGCCATTCCTCATCGGACAAGAGGCTTCAGGGCCTTAAGGGAGCTGGACCATTGCATTCTCCAAATTGAGCTTCTCCAAATTGAGCTGGAAGAAGCCTATGAGACCGTGCAAGAGTTGATTCTGGCGTGTGACCCAGGAACTCAGTTGGAGACATCCATGCAGTTGATTTTTGACACCATGGAGGATATGATGATCATCATCAGCGCACCCATCGACCTTAGACCTGCCGATTAATAGGACTCGGACATAAGTCGTGATCAGCGGCGAGGAAAAAGTTGAGGCAGCTCGGCTGACCAGCGAGACTGAAGATGTTGGCATCAGAGCCACACTGCAAAGTCAGATAAATTTAAGACAGATTGCAGTCACAATGAGCATGAAATCAGATTCAAGTTCATTGTGCATGGCCGCAGCCCAATTTTTTGGGAACAATTTTCCATCACCAGGTTTGAAAGAACAACCAGGAACAGACTTTACATGTATCTTCAAACAAAGTGTTCATCAGAGAGCTTTGCGCACATGCATGCAACACCACAACTAGGCAGACAGGATGCCCCCCTGACATTCGACAGAGACAGGATAAACTATTCTCCACTTTTGCAAAGCCGGGCTTGTCTGAGTTTCACAAGAGCAGTGCAGAAAAAAACATTTTTTTAGAGCCTGGAATATTTTTGTTTTTGCAAAGCCGGGCTTGTCTGAGTTTCACAAGGGCAGTGCCGAAAAAACATTTTTTAGAGCCGGATTTTTTTTTTGCAAAGCCGGGCTTGTCTGAGTTTCACAAGACCAGCGCTGACAAAACATTTTTTTAGATTTTAGAGTCTGAAAAATTGCTTTTTCGCAGCTGCGACCTAGGCTAAACCCCAGCCCTTTGCAGCCAGGGCAAAGAGAGAGAATGAGAAGGCACATGCTTTGAAGGCAAGGGTCCTGTAGCACAATGGTCAGAGTGTCGGACTTCACGCTTGAAGGTCTGAAGTTTGAATCCCGGGTCGCCTATGCTTTGGGCATCTAAAAGGGACCTGTAGTGTGCCTTTCACAATCACACCGCGCGCGCAGCTTGTCAGAGTTGTTGCAAGGCCCGGTTTCATCCCACAGGGCGTCACTCCACACAATCGCAGTGCAAAAATCATTTCCGTCGCACAAGGGGTCAAAAAAAATCAGATCGAAGAAAATTGTTTTTTTCGGAGTGCTGGTTTGGACTTCCGCACTCCACGCAAAGAGGTTTCGGCTGACAACAGTTGTAAGTACTGTACTTATAACCTCATTTTTAGACAGTATAACCGCACTTATATAGAACATAATTTACAAGTGGTAAAATAATGTTGCCAGAATCAAGCATGCGTAGTGCAAACGAAGAACTTTCAGATCCGACATGCAGTTGTTTTCATCTAGTGGCGGGTTGCAATCCACTGTGAAAAAAGTAAATAACAGTGCATACAAGGAGAGCATAAGACTGAGACCAATGGGGCATGGCTGATCATGGCGTGCGTGTGCTGGTGCAGTCTCGGCTGGCAATGCGGAACAGCGTTTGAGCACGCCTTGCAAGGAAATTATAGACGAGTACACGCGAGGCACTGGCTGGCATTCAACTGCTTACACCTGTTGTGGCGCCAGAGGAGAGCAGCGCATCGCGTTGGCTCTTCCCTGCGTGCGACTGGTGCGGAGGTGACTTCGCCACTGAGAAAAGATGAATTTTACAGGTGCGGTGCTTTGCCTAAAATGTCGAAAATGTTCAAATGTTCTTGACTATATTTGTGTTTTTTGCCGGTCGCCCTGCAGGTTGTGCTGCAACTCTGAGTGTGCGGAAGCCGACGCTGAAGCGACATGGCTTGCTTGTGTTGGAGCTTCGCCCAACATGCTTGGGAAAACAATGTTTCATCAAGTTTTTGGGAAGACAATGTTTCAGGTCCCAATGTCTATCCACATATAGATTTTGCGTTGATTGGGAAGCAGTCCAAGCATGCCCGAAAAAAAAACTTTTTGGATCTTGAAAATTGTTTTTCTGCAAAGCCTAAGTTTTCTTCAAGTTATTGGGGAAAACAACGTTTCAGGTTCCCAAGTCTATCCACATATAGATCTTGAGTGGATGGGAAGCAGTCCAAGCATGCCCGATAAAAACAATTTTTTGGAGCTTGGAAATTGTTTTCCTGCAAAACCTAAGTTTTCTTCAAGTTTTTTGGGGAAAACAATGTTTCAGGTTCCCAAGTCTATCCACATATAGATCTTGAGTGGATTGGAAGCAGTCCAAGCATGCCCGATAAAAACAATTTTTCGGAGCTTGAAAATTGTTTTTCTGTAAAACCCGATTTCATCCCATAAGACCATAAAGGGTCACTCCACAAAAAAATGAACCGCAAAGGGGAATTGCAAACCTCACGTCGTATAAGCAGTAATTTAAGAATTTGGCAGTCCTATTCCAGGGTCCAAATTCTTAAAGTACTATGTGCTTGGTATGGCTGAAAACATGTAGCCCGCCTTGGATTCGAGCCCCTCAAATTCCTATACACTGAATTCTTATACACAATACTCAAGCTGTGGTTGATAGAGGCTGATTGATTAATGGAAGAATGATCAGTTACCGTTGATGGCCGTAGCTTTTCGGTCATGGCTCGATTCGCGAAACAATGCTGCGCCGCAGGCGGTGCTTTCTCGGCGCAAACAGCGGAACGACTGGCGTTACGAGGTGCCAGCGGGGATGGTGTTGCCGTTGACGCTGTAATTACTCTCTGGTAAACATACGAAAAAACCTGTTGAAAATTGCCTTTTAGTTCGTTGAAAAATTGTGATTTTCCATAGTTCTGTTAAATTACCAGAGGGTATATATTTCCCTTGATGTGTGAAACATGTACCTTTTTATAATTTGATATATTAATTTGATTTGATGGTTTGCTATGAAAAATCACCGTTTGATTTTATGAGTAATTGCATATCTGCAAGTGGGGCCATGTTCCATAGCAAACTGTTAGAATACTGGAGGGTATCCGCTCTTCCCAGCTATATGGGTGTTCTTGGACCAAACACGCCTGATATGTTCAGTGTCGTCGGGTGAGATTGTTTGAAAGTTATGGCAATGGCAAGGGAAACCATGGAAAACCTCTATCCAGTGGTTCATCATGTTCTCATTAAAATTGCAATAGAATCAGATTGATGGTAAATTTTGGTACATCCCCCATTTTCGAACACTCCCGAAGTGGAAAAAACAACAGAAACGATGCAGAAACGATGCAGGTGAAATGGCAAGATCTGGCAGAGAAGCAAAACACCTTTGCATCTCGACGATGGGCTGGGGGTGGCTTGGGCAATAGCTATGGAAAATGGCCCATTTACAGATGATTTTCCCATTAAAACCTTCATTTACAATGGATTTTCCATAGCTATGTTAAATAACCAGATCGTATATATATATATATATATATAATCAACTATGTATATTACAGGTGTAGAAGGGAAATACGAAAGCGGAAACCCTGCAGTTATGGCCGTTTACCAATTATAAGCTCTTTTTCCACTGGTTATTTCTATGGGATAAAAAACATTCCATACATGGGGTTAGTTCAGTACTTATACCTGGTATTTCGGGCCATAACTGTGCACAAATTTGAGGCTCAACAAAAGCAGTGCAAAGCCTGTTTTCTTGAGTTTCCTGCTGGTACCAGTGGTGATCACCCAGGAGTCTACAGCCAAACTCAGACAGCTGGGTGTGGAGAGGCCGGGACTTTCGGGGCCGGGAAATTTTCGAGCTCAATGGGGGGTGAACCAGAGTCAGGTCAAACTTGGATTTATGCTGGACATCCACAGTTGAATGGGTTGAAAAGAACATTTCTAGCTGGTGCCATGCGGTGTGTCCATGATTCCCATGGCGGAAAGCCGTCTCAGGTTGGCAAGCGCTTTAGATGAACGCTTGGCCGTTGGAGCCATGGATTCCGAAGCTTGGGCCTTTTCAACAAGGATCCAACAATGGCTGTGGGTCAAAACCATGGTAGCCCACAGTTATGGCTGTTTACGAATCATAAGTGGAGATAGCTGTTTATACATGGGATTACAGTATACATTCCATAAATGGCGTTTTATAAGTACTTGTACCTGGTAAAGGGTTATAACTGCAGGTACCCCAAAATAGTACGTTAATGGATTATTGGCAATGCACGGCAATTTCATAGGTTTCGACTCGTTTTGACCCATCCAACACTGGAAACAGTGAGACTATCCACTGTGGAAAAGAAGCGCCTAGCTTTCTTGGTCTCAAGTGACTCTAAAGATGTGGTCCCTAGACGTGACCTTTGTACCTTTTAAATATATAGATGTATGTATATTTCTTAAATAGGTGTATACTCCTGTAGGGCGTGATACGAGGTTTATATATATATATATATATGTGTGTATATTATAGATAGGCTTTTATTTTGTGTACATGCACAATACAACCATATAGAAACAACAAATCATGGACTAGTTTAGAACTAAAGCAGAAGGAGATTGCCCAAGATTTTGGGCAAAGGATGTTGGTCCACAAAACGACTCATGGAGATGCACCCAGCAATCGTCGTTGCAAGTGACTGTTTCAACCCAATTGGCATTGCAGCGACAACCACCAGGGCATAATCGGCCCGGGCAGAATCAACAACAATGCTCGTGTAATTCAAACATTGCGGTTCCAACAACAAAAAACAACAACAGAAGGATTTACTTGTCTTTTACTGCTTCTCAAAAGGGACCCGGCAACATAGATCCACAATGTTGATTTTTTGACCCAGCTCAAACGCTGCGGAGGAACAGGGGTATCATGACGGTTTACCTGCCCATCGTTTTCAGACTCAGACTGCGCGTTTCCAAACTGTTTGACTCACATTTCGGCATAAAATACCAGCGTTTGTTTCAGTCGGAGCCTTGCCCTGACCAGTGACCCCAGATCAGATCAAGCATTGTGCCAAGCAAAACTGAAAATGAGGAACGATAATGTGCCAAGCACCCACCAAAAAGATAGAACAGTCAGATCCCACAACAAGAGTGATCAATGATCAACGATTTCTATCTTTTTGGATACTGCCTCAGTGAAAACGACGACGTAAGGCGGAACGGCGGAACTCAATAAAGGTGCTGTGGAACATGACGTTTGGCCACCGGCATTGGTGATATCAGTCACATACCGGTGATATACCCATCATTCATCCATGATGTTCCAATGGCATGCCACATAATAGAACTACCCAAGACACTACCAAGGTCTACCGAAACATGCACCCACTCATATATCATATACACACACTTAGACTTAGATCACCCTTCACCGGAAGAAAAACGAACATAGCCAATTTGTAGTGGAAAGTAATCTTCAAACCCCCAACTCATGGCAGGTCTACGTTAAATCTGGGAGAATGTATTTGCATGTCCCTGACCTGTGGCCAAGGGGCTGTCCGTGACTGAGGAGGATAGACCCCTGACACGTCGCGAGATCGTCAGGCGCAGGGGACGCTGAGAATGGTCCCCCAAACGGCATGGTTGCTGATTTATAAACAAACCGGGCCTTTTGTAACCAAACGTGGAAATTGGGAAAGACTCTAACAATGGCTAGTATAATCATTTATTATTATATATTATTAAATTGTGAATTTCCAATTATCATGTTTGATTGCCAGAGGGTAACTATAGTTATACTCAGCATCAACCACGAACAGACCAATTTTGTCAACATAGCCCACTCTGTTCATAGTCAACCTAGCGAACAGAATTTCAAATGCGGCACCACTTTGTAGCCTCCAGTAAACTAAGCTTGGAATATCTTGGGGTTGAACTTGTTCAACACATATTTGCTTGTAGGGATACGTCACGGGGATAGAAAGCCAACTGTTCATAGTGAAGTTATTTAGTGGGATTCATTATATAGTTGGCTTGAATGAATACATTAGTAGGATATTTTGAGTTATAGTGGATTATAGTGGGATATTTTTCAAATCAGTACATAGTTGACATGGGGGTACTTGCCGATCGCCAGGCATTTCGAGGGCTTCGGCTTGACCGAGGAACTCACCACACAGCGGCCCATCAGTGACCCGGAGAGCAGTGAGTTACAGGTGGCCACCGAAAGACCACTATTTTTTTGCACGTGCCTCTTATTTAGGATGTTTTAATAAGCAGAAAAACAATCTTCATGGTTTTGTTTCATGTCTGGGTAATCCAGTAGGTTAGTGTTTCGTTTCCTGCTCTGAGGGGAGATATTCTGGTGTAAGGTGAATGTTGAGACGTCCGTCATTCAAGGACTGCTATTTGTATCTATCTGTTGGTGTCATATTCAGGTATGTGTTAGACAGATGATACTTTCCATGGGTTTTGAGCACACCTCCTGCTTCATATATCCGTTTTCTGTTCTTTGCGCGGGTTCATGGATCAGTTAGATTTGAGTAAATTTAG